AAGTACAATACATTAGTATGTACATGTCTCAGTTTGCACGTTCAAATTTTAGTTTCCGTGTTCCCACGACTTGCAAGACTACTCCTGCTCAGAGTCCTGAGCCAAGTAAAATATTATGCTGAAGGACAGTATACACCAACAAGAGGGGCAATTGCCGAAAATGAGTGCAAGTGACGGTCATTTATTATGACACGGTTTCAAAACTCTTTCTCTGACAGTTACGCGCGCAGTGGACTCTGCAGACTTTAAAAACCTTGCAAGATACATTGTACTGTATGTATTGTTGTGTTTCTTCACGTGATGATGGTTAGGAGGAGGAGGAAGATGGCGAGACAGACATCTGTACTCGTACTATACTACTAGTACTCGGTGTGCTGATGGTGTACAGGCTACAGGCTACAGTGATTATGCACATGCACATGGGCTATGACAAAGTTAGTTGTGTCATTCTGCTATAGTAGTCTAGAGTGTGGTCGATCGGTGCATTCTCTTCTGTACAACACAAACACGAATATCATTTTGATCATTAGCATTCCCAGAGAATGCTAGATCAAGACGCGAGCATACACCTCACTCCGTATTCGGAGGATTCTCCGCCAAACGTCACTCCGCGTATTCAGGATTATCATTACCCATGGCCATGGCAGCAAATATCGTCAAGGAGAGAGAGAGAGGGTGGGGGGGGGGGGGAGAGAGAGGCGGGACTGGAAGACCGGTGGGCGGTGAGGTCCTGCCATGTGTACAGTTCTGTACCTCGTTGCCCCTGTCTACCTATGTGGCATAATTCGATCATTTCGGAGCAGGGCGGATTTGCACTCTCCACTGCATAAACTGAGGTGCGCGACCGTGCTCAAACTGGATATTTTGTTCCTGTAAACCCTGACATGATGGTGTTGGTTCGGCAGAGCGGTAACAATGGTAACATCGCTCATGTGTTGGGCGACGGCCAGCTCATTACCAGACTGATCACCACGTGTAAGTACGTTCATCCAGATAGTCCGAGTCCTCGAACAAGGCAGTGAGACGGGCTCGCGTCTTGTCGACCATGCTAACTTGGGTTTCATTGAGATAATCCAAGGTAGGAATGCTTTCGATCAGTTGCATCCGATGTATGGTATTTGTCACACACGGATTGTCACGGAGGTTCAAGTCCCGGAGATAAGGAATGGATTTCAGTTCACGTATGGTGTCGTCCAAACTTTGCAGGCGATTGCTTTTCACCGAAAATCGAGTCAGCAATGGTAGCTTTTCCAGGATGCCATCACCAAGGGATGAAAGGCGATTGTTGGACATGAGTAATACACATAGACTGCCACACTGTGCTAAATCTTGCGGCATGACGATCAGTTGGGTCTTGCTCAGGCAGAGGAAGGTGAGATTTTCCACCGCCAAGCGATCCGGAAAGCGAGTGACATCGCTACTCCATTGTCGGTTTGAAATCTGAAGGTGTTTCGTGCACAGGTACAGACGATAGAAGTAGTCCAATTCATTACGCTCTATTCCCGGAGTGACATCATGTATACATGTTGTCCTGCCTTGAAATAGGACGGGTGGGGCTGGCGGATTCCGAAGAGAGAGTCTCGTGTAGGCCTGCACAACCTCTTCTGTGCTTTTCCCGACGATGCCAGCTTTAGCGTTAGCAGTGGCAGCAGCTATTCTGCCCTTTGGTGGGACAGTCAGTGGGGTTCTAAAGTTACTCCTGGTCCACGATTGTGCTGCACTCTCCGCTGGTGTGAAGTTAGTTCGCGAGGCAGTGGCCAGTAGCGTTTTCATCGCCGGCGTCGGCTTGGTGCCTGATGCTCGAGAGTCGGCTGTGGTGTTCCGAGGACGGGTCGAGTAGATTGGAAATCTTGCCTTGCGCGGTGCGGCCGCGTACGACTCCAAGTCCATGAAACCAAGAGCGGTGACTTCCTTCACACTACTGCTATACGGCCAGTCCTTCTCCATACTTCCTGGCTTGGGAGGCGGCATTTCATGCGGCTCTAGTTTTTTCAGATGGCCTGGGAGTCGCCAGAGGTTGGTGCGCACGATTGGTCCCAGTTCTGGGGTGTCCAAGTAATCTTGTTCTCTTGTCACCGTCTTCACCTCCCTCACATACAGTCTTGAACGTGGCATAACAGGCGCCAGGCGCCGTAATGTCGGTACCCTGTCCTCCATGGCGCACAGAAACTGCTCTCGGGATCAGCAACACGGCAATACCAGCCGGCCTAGCCTGCATTAGTAGACTGTGTCGGTGTCACACGACTCAAAAATTGACTGTGGATAAAATATTGGGAATGATGAGTATATTCTTCCAGTGTGTCTTCTCGCTTCATCTAGTCAGCGTAGATCTAAGTGTAGTAGATCCACTACATCATGTAAAAACTACATCATGTAGTAGCAGACATTCGGGTGTGCTGAATCACGTCTCGAGGGAGCTCGCGCTGAAAGAGCTAGAGTGAAGCGCGTGGACGGCTGTAACAATGATTTGAGCGTCAAGCAAGAACTCGGGAAGTGCTAACACTATACTAGTAACAGTTGACTTTGTGGCCATAAATTAAATGCATAATGCGCAGCCTACTGCTTTGTACTAGTACTAGTGGATCATGGTCCGTGGAGTAGTGCTAGCCATGCTGATCAGTGATCACACTGCTTGACACCTGCACAAAGAAATGATTGTCATGGTTACGTATGCGTGTACATGTTCATCGCACGTACATACATGTACGTGTGCCAGGTACTGTGTAAAAAAAGAAAGAAAAAGAAAAGTGGCTTGAAGTGCACAATACAGTCATGTATTACTCACCAAAACTGTATACAATTGTATCGCGGATGTGCGAAGAGACGTAAAGCGGCTGCAGTCGAGCTTCGAATATTGAACGATAGGCGACCTTTGAATTAATTCCACATCCACCACCTTCGCTCTCGGGCCGGCCTCATGCACAACCGTAACATGACTCCAGGTTGATTATACAATGTACTTCTAAGTACATGTATTGGCAAATAGAATTTCCTCCATATAGCGCTGTGTCGACCATTATTATCTCATCTGTGAAGGGTGCTGTTTGATTGTACATGTATTTTAATTTCGCAGTGACCAAACAAGCAGAGGTGCTCATTACCAAGGAAGCGAATGAAAGTGCCAAGGAGTACGAGCCTACGAGGAGAAACCCAGCAGATAATACTAGGACAACGAGGGGGGGGGGGGGGGGGGACAATGCGAGCTTTGATACAGAGGGGTCGACGGTAATGGAGAGCATTGTCAACACGCAACTTGTCAACTACCTGGAGAAGCATGAGGTGCTGCCAAACAGCCAGTTTGGATTCCGACGTGGTAGAAGAACCGCAGACATCATACACGGCTCTCCAACACGAATGGGTCCACACCATTAGTACTGGTGGCTGTGTCCAGGTCCTCGCCGTTGATGTTGCCGGTGCGTTTGACCGGGTTTGGCACACTGGAATGCTGTGCAAAGCGAAGCAGACCGGTGTCCACGACACCTGCTTGTAAGGCTACACGACTACCTCACCAACCGGAATATCCGCGTTGTGCTTGGAGGCCTACATCGCAAGCACGTTCCTCCCTGCACTCCACCAGTCACCTTTGGAAGCGAAGCACCCCAGAAGACAGATACCCTGAAGCTGCTGGGAGTCATGCTCGACCCTACTCTCTCCTACAGAGCCCACACTCGTAGTGTTGCACTGCGTGCCTCCCTAAGGCTGAGTTTTCTACGAAAGGCAGCACCCATCCAGGCTCCTGGACGACCATGGTCGAGTGGCAGTCTACAACTTACAAGGGATTCGTGCGACCCCTACTGGCCTGGTCTAGCGCAGCCACAACTAACATGGCCCAGCTGGATAAGGTTCAGCAACGACTTACGTGCGCTGCATTTCCTGGGACCTGGAACCATCCTTCAAAGTCTTCAGCTCCGCCGGATGGTGGCAGCTCTATCATATTTGCACAAGTCCACTACATTCCAGGGCCTCCCCTGGTAAAGGCCATGCTGCCACCAACCACGCCCCCTGCCGTAGCTAGCTTGCGCACACGGCAACAACATCAGAAGTACCATGGCTTCCAAGTTCCAGCTACAGTGGACACCCCCTAGATCCTTCCCTTTCAGGAATGGACTCAGATGGAGAGCTAAGGTTGAATTTATACAAAAGAGAAAGACCAAGGAACTACAAGTTACACTATAGTGTCCACTAACACCACCAGTTACTAAACAATCAGCTCATGCGATAACATTGCACGACACTGACCGACGGTACTGACGTTCTACAACTAACTGGCTAACAGCTCTAGCACATCTTGGATGCGCACTCCAACAGCCTTCCAACTTGGAAGGTTCTAAGTTATAGAAATAACATCAGGAGGGGAAGGTGAGCGCAACCACGATAAGCACAGGCTGAAAGTCTCAGCTGTGATATGAAGGACGTTGGCGGATGTTCATGCATGTCGATGACGATACTGGCAAGACAATTGGACAATACGGTCAAACCACGATTCAAGAACGCAAAGCAACATTACACACAACTTGTGTGGCTCAAAAGATGCGAAGATCAATAAAAGGGGAAGCTATGCGAACAAGAATCATGAAAAACCGAACGCCTCAGTAAAACAGCACTGTACTTCGACTATGACAATTAATATTTAGATGGACAATAAGCAGCGGTAACAATCAGCAGTTTCACACGACCATCGTTTCGCCGGATAGATAAAGACGGCTCATCAGGTGTGCAGGATTGGACTCAGATCAGCAGGGAGTCGTTTATTTCAGGGAGTCGTTTAATTAATTATACGATCGTATAAACGACGAACTCTCTCTGGTTCCGGGTACGGGTGTGAAATAATTCCGACTGTCAACCCTACGTCTGAGGCTACGATTATTTGTACACATAATTACGATGTAGGCATGATCACCATAATCACCATGATCACAGGCAGTCACCAAGCAACCGGTGTAGAAGACTTGGCCATGCGCCAGTGCCAGAGGAAGTAAACCTGCCACAACCACCCCTGGCCTTGGCCTTGATCAGCTGATGCTGTCGGGCTTTGTTTGGGTCCGCCTGGGCTCATTCAAACAAGGAAGCAGTAAAAATGGTATTTTACTACTCCTTGATTCAAACAAAATCTCTCCAGCCACGGCCGGCAGTTGCCTAAATGATTTCAGCAGAGAATAGTTAGTTCGCGCTCGGCTCCTGCCTGCAATGGCCACTGCAAAGAAAAGAAGGCCTCCGAAGGAACCAAACCGCGGACCAGGCCCAGTGCCGGGGGTGGCTGAGAAGGCAACCTCCCCGAATGAAGTACGTCCATATGACGACCCTCTGACCGCGCGAGATGTGCTGGAGAGCTACAAGTGGCTGAGAAAGCGAGACCGGCGTGTGTTCCTGTGCAAGCTTAGCGAGTCACTGAGCCCGTTCGAACAAGAGGAGATCTTGCTGGCGTTGACACCGCTGGTAAACTGCGACATGGCCATCTACATGGCCGGTGCAGCGCGTAATCTTTTCAACACGGACTTGGCTGGTGTCGAAGAAGATGTCGTCGATAGGAGATTGTCGAGCAGTGGTCTCCCTGACATGTCCATACCTGGGAATCGACACAAAGATGGCGCTGATAACACAGGTAGCAGGAGTTCATTGCAGCATAGCAAATCAAGATTATCTAGCTATCCTTCGGCTGCTGCTGCCATTTTGAATTCCGGAGCTTCTTCTCTAGCACCGGGCCATTGTGTATCCACACGACGGAGAACTAGGAGCAATCCTAACACAATTGTTTCCGGGCCTTTCAGGCACGAAGCACATCAACACCAGACCCAGGGTGCTGCAACACGCAACACAGACTGGACAAAAACGTCCAGGCGCATGCACGTCAGCAGTCGTACTCGGAGTTCTACTTCCATAGACAGTGGTGCGAGCGGCACGTCCACCATTGCACTGACTCAGAGAGTACGAGGAGCCCGTCACAAAGGGCCGCCCGGCCCCCTGACCGTGGGTCAACCACCGGGCCTGGTCACGTATCACCTGCACGGGCCAATGCACTATCGGGGCGAGGTGGTCGACAAGCATTTCCGTCGTGACTGCGTGCGTGCCCTGGGAGCCGAGGAGCGTGATTTGCGCATGCAGGCAGCAAACATGGAGAGATTGGAGGTGGTAAGTGTTATGTGCGTAGGCATACACTACTTCAGGGTTTGTGGAACCGGAACATTATTTTACTGTAAAATTTGGACTTCACGGAGATTTTCAAAGTACTAGGAAATTAGAGGCCATATGCCTCGTACTGCTCTTTTCCTTCCGCAACTCAACACTTGCAGTTCTATTTCGAAACTTGGGTGTTGAGCCAATAATATAATATAAAAAGTAATGGAACTCATGGATTTATTTAGGCCATCCAGAATTAATTCGTTGTTTCGGGTCACCCGACCGACCGTCTTTTTTCACCCGACCGCAAAATGTTTTTTAAAATTATAGTGGATGCAAATGTACAGACTAGACTATGTACACACGCGACCCTAATAATAGCAGTCCAGATATCGCCCTCAGAAGCAGTCATCAATGGTCATGGCTAGCCAAATGACAGGTGCTTGGTGATGACGTTGTCTTCTATCTCCGATCCGCAATCGGTCCTGAAACAGCATCAGCTCCGCCACCTTGTCGCTATTATTTTACAGAAGTTTTCAAGGTGAGAGCTGCTCGTCAGACTCTTTTGCCAGCGAGGCCAAGATCTGGTCCTGGAGGGGACCTGGATCTGATGGGACAATGACTGCGCTGGATTGTCTACATTACAGTCAGATTTGATCGACTGGCTAGATGGACAAAAGCTATTCGATGCCGTACATGTATGCACATGGACGTAACCAAAATAAAAAAATAAAAAAAAAATAAACCCGACCGACCGACCCTGGTACGGATGAGTGAAGTGACCCGAAACAACGAATTAATTCTAGGTGGCCTTATTTATTTATTTCTGCACCTCGTGGCATGTCAAGACAGCCAATTGAATTGAGGAGACGGTGAGACCAACCACGGAAGAAGAGGAAAAAAAGAAAAGAAATGAAGAGCACGTACACAAAGTGGGAAGAGATTAGCAACTTACAAAGCAATGGGATGCTGTGGGATGCTTAGATACAAGTTGTAAGTAACTGTTCACCGCTGTAGACTGATCTCTGCCTAATTGTCGCACTTTACGGCTGCATATTATCTAACTTGGTACGGGGGCCAGGTGCCCAAAATGTTTACTTTCGTTGCAGTTAAGAGCGCACAACTTTTTGAGAGTTTCAACGTGTAGAGGGGACCACAAGGAGCTCAACGATATATATGTTTTACCCTCGAAATGTGATGGAAGGTGCTGAAATTAGCCGTTGAAGTTTAGTGCATGCCAACCATGCATGGTAACCATGGCAACTGCATAGCAACAACATAGCAACTACTGTTTTATTCTTGTTTTTAGCCAACAGTAAATGTTCTAGAACGATTGAATGACTCAAATCAAGTTGAGACGATACGGAATGAAAACCATTGGGTTATATGCAGACTGCAGGAATGCCAGAAAGGAATGTAAAAAAAGCACAATACACTTACGTGTACATTGTCCATGGATGTGTATGTAATGTAGATGTACGTAATTGAAACTCAATGTCATGCTATAGTGGCAGTTAGTTGGCCAGATCACTGGCCTTGTTCTGGCAGCTATCTGCAGCGCTGCATTCACAAACATCAGTGCAATGCAAAGACTGTGCTTTGCAGGAGCAGCGGCCTCCGTCACAGCCAGTTTTGCAGCCGCATTTAACAAACTCCATCAGGGCGTTGGGAGCAGGCTCCAGGGACAACCAGTCAACCTGGAGCTTGCCGTCCACTAGTTTCCAGCCTTGGTGAGCAGTGGATGGAGAGGGTATGTCAGGCTGAGCCTCCAGTGACTTCCTCCAGGTTGCAGCTTGATAGTTAGCTCTGGCGGTGTGTTTCACCAGAGCGTCTCTGGTTGGCGTTCGTGAATTTCTGTTTGAGAATGTTTTGAGCTTCAATTTTGGAATGGGATCCAGGAACTTCTTTTCCTGTGCCGCAAGTCTTTTCTTTTCAACAAACTTGCGGAAGGCTACCCGGCCTCGAGCAGATCAATTGCAGCACTGCTTGAGCATGATAGGCCAGAAGATAGTCCCACCAAATCTTCATGCAGAATTATATTCTTCAGCTTCTCACCTCTGATATCATCATCGCAACTCACGCCTACCTCACTGAGTTCAACATGTTTTGTATAGTGCCTTCAGGTCAGCTGTGGAAAGAAGAGCGGTCTTATCAACTAGTTGTTCGTGGATTACTGCAAGGAAGCTAGCCAACACTTGCGCCTCTCCACCTGTACTGTCCGATAAATCGATGTCATTTTTGTCTTCCAAAACTCGAGTGTAATGGCGGAAACAGTCACGATGGTAATGTACCTCTCGAGCAATCAGGCATGAAAGGGACCCAATAGCAATTCCAATTGCGTTGTCCTCTCTTACCTCGGCTGCATCGAGCACTTTCTGGGCTGCGTTGAGAGATTGGCACTGAGATGTCTTTTGGTACGTGTGCTTCTTTCCAAGCAACAACTTTCGACAGAAAATGCAATCTATCCGTCCTGGCTCGACGACGGGAGCAGAGACGCTTTGTTGAGTTGCCCTCGGCGCACGTTTGCCCTTCGACATCCCGGCACCTCCACAAGCATCAGAAAACTCACTCGTTCTCCACTGTGACGTACAGACACTGTGAAAGATTTACTTGGCATTCAAGCAAAAGACAACGGTCCATGAGCAAGCTAGCCTTGATAATGGATGATGGTGCCAGATTACCGTCGTGAAACTCACATTGTTAGTGCTAGAGGTGCAGCCCCTTCGTGGTGCCGAAACCGCTACGTGCGTGTCAACAATACCAGGACTGACTCGGAAGTCGCTCGGAGGAGAGAGAGTTAATCCAGTCAGTCAGGACATACCACATCCTACTCCACTTTCGAAATTGTTGCCCGGGCCCTTCGTGGTGCCGAAACCATCACCTGCGTGTCCACAATACCAGGACTGAAGTTTTTTTGCAGAGGGCCTGCACTGGGGTTGTGTAGGGAAGTCTCATCGGTCTTGACAAGTCATTATTCTACGACTTCCAGGGCATACCGCACGTAATGCCCGAGTGGAGGACAAAATCACCTCGTTTGGGACCTTCCATTCACTTTCCGAAGCGGTTTTTTAAAGATGTCATGTCTGTATTGCCCCGCTATGACTCTGTGGTGTCAAATTGTTGTGCGCTAAAAGTCGGAATGAAACTTTTTTGAAGCACTTTTTCAGCCCTGGCCCCCGTACAAAATACAGTGGTGGACAGTTACCCATAACTCGTATTCACGAGCCCCTTTACTAAGTTTATATTTCAACTCCGTGTGTCCCGTTCCTTTTACAGCGTTACATTGATTTACAAAATGGCCTAACATGTCATAAATTACCTTTCTGCATCAGATGGTTCATTTACCGGTCATTTACCGGTGTGCAAAGAAGCTAAAAATTACCGGTGGCACTAACATTACCCTAGAAATTCACACTGATGGCTTGAAAACCGCCATTGCACGGCTCTCAACCTAACCTACCTCCAGGACACTGGTCACACCTCTTCAGAAAACAGCCTCGCATGAAGGAAATCGACTGTGCTTCATCGTTATGCATGCTGTGAAGGCCAGCTGCTGGCCTCCACTTAGCGATCTGTGTTGTTATGGAGAACCAGCTTGTGCATTGTTGGTGTTCTCCGTTTGCTGTGCAGTGCTTTGCAGTCATGAGCGGTTTTGATAGGCTGCTGCTGTGCAAAGACCTGATGAAGGACTTGCAATCGGTTGAGTCCGTTGAACTGGCCGCATACTTCGCCGACTGTCTGAGGCAGAGGTAGGGAGTGATTGATCAGACTGTATCCGCTGTGTGTATGAAATAGATCTGGCTCTGAGTCTTTGAAGCCGCTTTAAAATGCTTTGTTGTTCACTAGATTTCATTGCCATCGGTTCGGCCAGTCACTCTTAGCTCTGCTGACGAGATCTTACGAGGTTGAAACAGCTAGCTGTGAGGAGATTGTGTATGGAATAATGGCTGCAGGATTTCAGCTTGCAACTCTGCATACTGCTACTGCTGCTGCTGCTGCTGCTGGATATGATGTTTGAAACACACTGCTGCCTAACTGTCACACGTTTTCGCAGAGTGAAGGATCGCGGCTTCTTTCACCGGGCGTCCCGTGACCTGGTGGCAAGAATTCTGCACTTTCTCCAGCCGCACGATGCGTGCCGACTATCACTGGTAAGTAGCAGTGGTAACATTTAGACAGGCCGGGCCGAACCTCATTGCTTTCAGTGCCATACTCCATTGCAAAACTGGACACTATACATGCAATACTGCCAATAATTCTGTTTCAAACTGATACTATGTAAGTTCTCCTCGCCCTAGAGCCCCAGTCAACACATACACACGACTGTTGGGCTGATCTTTTCCAGAGTACTATGTTTTCCAGGCACTATTGAATGTGTGTGTGTACGTGTGTGTGTGTGTGCATGTGTATGTGTGTGTGTGTGTGTGTGTGTGTGTGCGTGTGTGTGTGTGTGTGTGTGTGTGTGTGTGTGTGTGAGAGAGAGAGAGAGAGAGAGAGAGAGAGAGAGAGACAGTGCACGTGGGTGGGTGTATATTTGTGTGCATGCGAGTGTGCACTTGTGTGTGTGTGAACGCGTATGTGCGCACTTGCATGCGGCCCTTGCTCAATCTCATTGCAATGCAGGTGTGCAAAGGCTGGAAGATGATTCTCAACCGAGATATGTACTGGGAGCATTGGTGTGTTCGACTTGGCAGGCAGTATGAGTATGATCATCTTCCCACTGACATCCAGGCAACGCATGACCAATATCAGTACATTGACTGGAAGGCTGAGTACCACCAGTGGACTGTGCACTTGCGGGAGATGAAGGAAGAGGCTGACCGGGAAAACGAGCGGAAAAAGAAAGAGGATAAAGGTAAATGTCACAACTCCGGCCTTCGGTTGCGTTGGGGGAATTATGGGGACACTTGTCAGTTTCGTTTAGAAGGAGATTTAGAGGAGTAAGAAAAGGCCCCAGCTTTGGCTGCTGGATGTTAGCCCGGTGGACGCCAATCTCCTACCTTTGGCCGAGTGCTGATGGAGCGGAGTAGAAGAAAAAGAAAGAAGAATATTGCGTTCAAGAATACAATTTCAGTAAAGGATATACCGGTAAGTGGCTAGCTTACTAAAACTGTGGTATGGTTTAGATCGCAGAATTGTAATGGTCACGGTTTGATTTATAAAGACCTTAGACGGTGTCGCATCATTGTTCGAATGTTTAGGGATGTTTGAAACTCGGATGTTGAGCCATAAATAAATGTGGAAGAGAAAAAGACATATGGATACGAGTTAAGAGTAACTAGTTAAGAGTAACTAGTTATTGCACTTTCTGACTGTATATAGTATCATGTTACAGTGATGGATAGTTACTCTTTACTCGTATCCATATGTCTTTTTCTCTTCCACGTTTAGGGATGTGCTGGTAATGGGCCGGGAATGTAAGGACCGGGAGATTGCAGTGTTTTAATGGGCGCGGTTGTATAAATAGAATGCTGAGATCATCAACAGAGAACTATGAGAAAGAGCAAATGACAGGGGTGACAGTGTTGAAGCTCTGAGCAGACGGCGTCGGCAAGAGTGCCTACACAGAGAGTAGAAAATTGGAGAGGAGAGGTCCCGCCGCCTCGAGAGTCGCTGTGCTCGCGAAAGGCTACACCGACAGCAAGAAACGATGGAGCAAATATCCTGTCGTTTGGAGACTCGCCAACTTCGTAACAAGATGCGTCGACAGCAAGAGACCGCTGAACTGGATCTACTCGGCAGGAGAAAAGATGTTATCATGCCCGAACTTGTTCGGTGTGCGGTGATTGCGGTCCGTAGGCGTAGGGCCGCCGTCACGTGACGCATCATGGCTGGACCGATCTCGTACATGTCCCGTACCGTGCCGGCAAAGATTGGTGACCACACATTGAAATAGGGCTTTCAACTGCAGGATCACAAAGCGAAACAACTTGATAGAATGTGTATGTAAGCAAAGTGTATCGAGGGAATGCATGCAGCGCTGCAGCGCAGGGAAATGCTCAGCGTGCGGGTTCCAGGCTATGAGTTGAAAAAGAAAAAAAGGAGAGAAAATGAAATAAGCTATTGACATACCATATTATGAGAAAGCTTGAAAGCTCAGGGCCCTCGCTATGCTTTTTTGCCTAGGTCATCATGCATGTTATTCGAACTGATGGAAACGTTGTATGATGTAGCCGATGATTGTATTCCAAAAACGTTTCCATCAGTTCGAATAGCATGCATGATGACCTAGGCAAAAAAGCATAGCGAGGGCCCTGAGTTTTCAAGCTCTATCGTTTGTCACCCTCAAACTTCCATGGCCCGTCATGCCTTTGAAACCGCTCTCATTACCATGACAACCCGTAGACTAGGTCTTGTTTTGGTGGCCCGGTAGCATTACATGCATTTGTGTTGCGTGCTCTTGTGTTTGTGCGTGTTCATTCCAGCGAAAGCCGCTCGTATGAAGTACCTGATGTCGCGATTTCAAAACGAAGCCCGGAAGCTGGGTGCTGAAGCTTGGCGAAAGTCTAATGATATCTTCATGGCGTATGGTATGTCAATTTTCTAAAACCGTTGCTTCTGCGTATGGCTTATCTTAGCCGGAGGTTACAATTTCATTGTAGACATTTGCTAATACCAGGCCTCTCACGAAATGGGCAATGATCCACGAAAGAAGCGTGGATAAGTTAAAACATATGACGTTTGTAGTCCACAGTCCCTGCACTAATCTACTGACTGATCAAGGCAGCGAATGCCTCTCTGGGCTTGCTCCTGCTGCACTCCAGCAAATAGACCATGTACTCGTGCTCATGGTCAACTTGAGGATACGTGTAGTCACGTATAACTGTTCGACCCTCTTTGAAGTAACTGTTGTACATTGTACTCTTGAGGCAACCAACTCAAAATAAATCATAAACAAACAAACAACACAAGCTGAAATTCGGCTAAAAAGGGCATGCCATGGTTGTCATCTTCTGGACGCTGAGTCAAGTATTTTGGTCCCGAGTACTCCGTGGAGTTGTATTTCCTATTGAATACGCACGCCGCGACCAAAATGGGAGCAATGAGCCCCTCGTGGATGGGCAGTTTGACTGGAAACTGCACTGAAGGCACTGCTTCAGTCCTAAAATAAAATAAATAAGGACAGGAAAAGATGAAACTATCAGAACCTGTAGTACTCTGGACTCTTCATTGTCGGCAGTGTTTCCAGGTGAGCCTGAATGTATCGACACTAGGCATAGTAGATACCAGTGCCTGATATCAGCTGACCTGAGTGGTATTAGTGAGCATACTGTACTGCAATGTACCACGTACTTGCATCTCTGTACATCAATGTACTACATTCTTGAATCTCTGTACATCAATGTACTACATTCTTGCATCTCTGTACATCAATGTACTACATTCTTGCATCTCTGTACATCAATGTACTACATTCTTGAATCTCTGTGCAGTACGACGCAGGTTCGGAAACCATCGAATGGATCGAAGGGATCAAAAGCAGTGGCTGCAGGTGCTGAGCGAGGAGGAGATTAAACAGATTACCGAGCGTGTGTTGGATCGCGTTGCCAAGTGCCATGAGGAGGGCGACGACTACGACAAGTGGCTAAGCGGCGACGACGACGCGAGCGAGGAGGAGACTCGCGTGCAGAGCAGTGACTGTAAGTGCGTTCAATGAGAAACCCAATGTTTTGCGGCTCATGAAGGCATCCTAGGCTGCGGAAATCCCTTGCCTTCATATTATACACACGTGAATTCTGGTGGCAGGCGTTCCTTCTCTTTCTGGAGTGAACCCATAGTTATGGGTATGTAAGATACACCCCCAACCTTTGAGGCAAAAGTCATAGTTCCGCGTGTATTTGGTTTTCTCCTGGAATGTTTGTTCACTCGTATTTTCCAACATGTAAGACTAGTGTAGCATAGTACTGGATTACTGGTCCAGCTGGAAGTCTACCTTCCATGTCTAAAGAATTGAATCAGAAAGGTAGGAGTCGACTTACAACCAGAATTTGACTGTTAACCGGGAACTACCGGAAGCTACCGGAAACGGCCTGCACCCATGCATGCATGAGTGCACTATGTGTATGCATTTTGCCAGTTTTTTTCTTGCCAGGATTTGGACGCTTCACCTTTTCACTTTCCGACGAGAAGAGCTTTCATTATTTATTTTGTTGATGTCCTAGCTCCATTGGGTTAAAAACTTGTAAAACCTGAAATAAGACCTCCGGATACTGTAAATATACAAATTTTCGGCAGCTATTTAATTTCGGCTATATTCGGCACCGACCCTAATCGCCTAAATTAAAACGCCGATGAAATTTTTCACAGCATCTGTCGCACTATACCATGCCCTGTACCCCATGCCGAAATGTCAAAAATCGTGAAGTGCCGAAATCGTGAAGTGCCGAAATTTTGCAGCGCCGAAATTTTGTATATTTACAGTACGGTGTCGACTCTTAACCGGTATAATAGAGTAGCCTTTAATAGAGAAAATGGCTGATGATAGATTCGGATCATGAAGGTGAATCTGGTCAGGCTTGCTTTCCGGGTGCAGCTTTCACTTAGAGTGGTCACCACTAACACTTGTTGATGCTCTACAAGTTGTGACATGCGATGTCTCCTAGTGAATGACCCAGCATTTGATGGAGCGTGCACACGAACTCTCCACTGATTCTCAGATCCAGACGAGAAGAAGGAGGAGAAGGAGAAGAAGCCGCCCAAGCCACTGCCACCACTGCCCACCAGAGCACATGAGTTCAGGAGTTGTGGCAGGCCCAAGGTGAGTGTCAGTGTGGAGAACCGTGTCTGGCGAGGCGTTGGCCGGCTGTGTTTGCACGAGACCTTTCAACCCGGGTTGAGTTCGTTTCCGGGTCGGGTTTCAACCCATCGTGTACACAGATTGACTGGAGCGTTTTAACATAATGCTCCGCTTGCACTTACCGGTTCGTGCGTGTTTCATGCCTGGACTGCACAGCATTTCACATGACCATGCAAGACCCTAGGAAGTGGAATGTTTGTCGGTGTATCAGTAATCTACACGGGCAACCATCTAAATGCTAGCGAATGCCTGTTTCTGCCATCGTGAAAGATGTTCAACCCGGGTTGCCTTGGACTCCTGATTTTACAGTCATGTACAATCATGTACTTGCATTGACCAGCACTTAGCATGTCATGTTATAAGCGGTTACCATGGTTACTGTACTTGTAAGGACATGTATTGACCTGGTGCCACATAGCAGAGTTTCACAACATGTAACATGGTTCAATTTTCCTCTTTGACCTCAATAATTATAGTTGTGATGTTCTTGGCACGTCTCAGTAACAGTACTTGAGAAGTACTTGTAACAGTGTCCAGATATCCAGACTCTTGAAATCCTGTAGCCGTTGTATGCTCTCACAATTAGATAAATTTACTTCCCGGCTATACAATTAACACTGTATCTTTCTTGTGTGTGTATGTGTATGTGTGTGTGTGTATGTGTGTGTGTGTGTGTGTGTGTGTATGTGTGTGTATGTATGTGTGTGTGTGTGTATGTGTGTGTGTGTGTATGTATATGTGTGTGTGTATGTATATGTGTGTGTGTGTGTATGTGTGTGTGTGTGTGTGTGTGTGTGTTATAACAACATTGCCAATGAATGATTTTTAAACAGATGCGTTTGGACGAGGACAGTGAGGTATACGAGCACTCACAGCAAGGGAAGCAGCCTGCCCCTACGTGGAGCTCAGTTATCCCGGATGACGAAATGCCATTCCGACGGATGATTCTAGTCCAGCAAATACAGGTAGTGGTGCTAAGGGTTGACTGCCATCGCAGTGTGAATTTTCAATTTCGCTATGTGAACGTCGATATGCATGAGTGTGTACTAATTGTGCATTCGTATGTGTACTATCTGGTGAAGTAAAATACAAACAAACAAACAAACAGGTCGCACACAGGCGAGGCCGATTGATGCGGGATTTGGGGGTGATGATGGGGCAATCTTTCCCGCACTATATGGGCATCTGCAGTTGATATTGACAATCAATCTGGAACCTTGCTATGCTACCTTGCTATACTACCTAGCAGTTGCTACCTAGCAGTTGCTAGCAGTTGAGCTGCCAGTGCCGTATGATCATAGTCTCTGATGCCGTTTGCAGAACGGACTCTAGACGTTTTCACAAACCTGAGCGAATGCAAACTGCAAGCTGCGCTTCAGTTTCTCACCCTCTGTCTCTGTGTGTTTGTCTACGTGTGTGTGTTCTTGTTCTGGCCTGGTTAGAGTCCAGAAACACGTGGTATTTACTGTGTGGCAGTGGATCGGAGGAGAGTTATATGTGGCTGTGCCGACGGAGCTGTTAGGTACGCGACTTGTCCTTCTACTGTGGTTGCGTAAAGTACCTTATCGTGTGTTCGGCGAAATCGTGCCGGGTGCTGTCAAGGCAGAGAGCGCTTGGCCGTATTACTCTGAAACGTGTTTTGTGTTCCGAGGCAGAAAACTGCAAGGCCCCACACAGCCGGCTGAGGCCGTTTTTATTTTTTTATTATCTTTTTTAGCACACTGCAAAGTGCGATGATCGCAGCTAAGCGTGAACATGGAAAATCCTTGTCCCCGATCGTGGTTTGTTGCAGAATCAAAAAGTCTTTCATTGCAGTTACACTGAAATGGCACCAATTGGCCGAATGTCTGGAAATGCTTGCAATTGGCTTCTATTTTTGATTTTTTTCCAGGGGAGGGTAATGTTAGGTATCCATTTACCTCTGGAAAATCCATAAATAAACAAAACTGAAACTGAAACTAATGTTTTTTCCCCGCTCGTAGCATCTTCTTGGTTTGTTGCAGAGTCAAAAAGTCTTTCATTGTAGTTACCGTACACTGACATGGCACCATATGCCCGGAAATGCTTGCAATTGGCTTCAATTTTTAAAATTTTTCCTGGGGGACGACCCCCGGACCCCCTTCCATGGCCGCCCCACCTCCAAAGTTGGTGCGACGGGCCTGAGTTACTGTGCAGCTACTCAAAACTGACCTGAAAATGCACATGCAGCATGCACTGCCGGCAAAGGCTGACAATGCACTACCAACGAAGGCTTACAGCGCAGGGGAAAAAAAGGGACACTTCAGTTTTTCAGAACACTACAGAAATACCACTTTCACTGGGTTGAGGGAAAGACTCAAACCACTTTACGGTACATCTAAATGCCAAAACTTGGTCAAACGTGGTTGGTTGGTGGGTTTTGTTTATACGAGTAGTACGTTATGATATACATAATGCCATAGGTCATTGCAATGAATGTTGAGACTGTGTCACAACGCAAGAGTTTCATGTCGGATCGGTAATCATCAGGTGACGAATGGTCACTTCTTCGTCATCTGACGATTGCAAACCCAGCATGCAACTCCGAGTTGCGACACCGTCTCAACCTTACTTGCAATGGCATTATGTGTAACCGCTCCTCCTTCGGTATTGAGCACTCTAGGCCTATTCAAAGTTTTCACCGTGGTATGATAAAGCTGTTTGACTCCAGGCAGCTACATTGTAAAGAAGGGGGGGGGGAGGGGGGGGGGCTGAATGAACTGTGGTCGTATAAAAGGTCTATAAAGTCTAAGGTATTACGTGTGTGCATGTATGTATGTATTTCACTCTGTGTGGACCGTGGTTTGTGCGTGCATGTTTTTCAGAATCTGGAGCCTACGAAGTGGCCAGTTTGTTTCAGCGTACAAAGCCCACAAGGTAGACGGGTTGTTGCGTGACCGTTATGATGCGAAGTATTTCCTAAATGTGCTTTGCAAAGACTATGTGCACAAGAAAGGTTAAACACACATAAACACACACACACACACACACACACACACACACACACACACATCTCAGACCTCAGACCTGCCCATCGCGGAAGCGATGAGCTATGTTAGACATAGTAACTTATGCTGGGGTTACACCATTCAACAGCTTGCAAGGCACACACACACACACACACACACACACACACACACACACACACACACACACACACACACACACACACACACACACACACACACACAAACACACACATTCACAATCTGGCTGAAAAAGCCGAGGCACTTCTCCGAACTAAGCAGCTGCAAAGTCCTACTGAAGGAGAGAAGCCATTTGTTCATTTTAACTTGTCTCTATTGTAGCATTCACCAACAACACCTGGATGCTCGCAGAGTGAGTATTCTAGGTTGTTGAAGGGAGAAGATGGAATGAGGATGTCTGACATTACCCTGCTCTGTGGCTTCTTGCGATTTGTGATCTCTACCAGGGTGGCGTGAGATGTTTGGATTATCAGGGTGACAGGATCGCTAGCGGCTCCTGGGATCGTCTCTGCGTTGTAAGTCCATGAATATATTGTATAGTATGTTTCCATCCAGGTCACTAGTAGTAGGGAGCGGACAGGGGAAACAGTCACCCCTTAACCCATTCTCCCCGGCATTTTCCGAAATTGTCTTACGATGCAAAATGCAACGTATGGGAGCGAACCCCAGACTTCACCCCAAGAGCCTTTATGAACCCTTTGCTGTCAGTGACTATCAACTGCTTTTTCGTTGACTTCCCTGATAAAGCACAAAATCGACAAATGAGTAGAGAGCCGCCGTACTTTCACCAGGGGGGGGGGGGGGGGCTCAATCAGAGTAAGGAGCGCTGTGCCCATTACCCTCCTTTGAGTTTGTTGCCTCAACAGAACAAATCACAATCAATCAAGGGAAATGGAAAGGTCCTACTACTGAAAGGCTTCCTGGCCAACTTGACTAAATTCTACTACATCATGTCTGTTGTATAGAGTGCCTTGAAGTTGAAGTACATGTAGGTGAACATCTGAACTTGAGTCTGTATGCCCACTGGTTGCCTCTGACTGAGAAAGTCCTGCACCAGTGGGGAGTTGGCACTCTGTCAGTGTGCGGGCTTCTCAATCACCTTTACTCACTGATCATGTCATGCATTGGGGTCCTGCAATTCTTAGGCTGTGCGGCAGTGTGTGACTGCGTGTGCATATGGGAACCTGGGCATTTGGCATATTATTATGAATGTAGTGATGGTGTGAAAAAAAGAAAAAAGAGGGTAAATTATTGTGTCCGTTCTCGAAAGGAACTCACACCGGCCGCTAACAGCAGGTAAACCACGGTGGTGGTGTTGCACCTAAATTATCACGAATTCGGTAAAGTAACTATTGGTGCTTTGTGCAGTTGGCACGTAAAGGTCAGGTAAAGATTGTCCACTCCATTCTGGCCGATGTGTTACAGCGTAGATTACGTTACCTCTAGCTTCGTGATCTACACAATGTGCGTGTATGTGTATGTGCGTGTGCGTATGTGTGTGTGTGTGTGTGTGTGTGTGTGTGTGTGTGTGTGTGTGTGTGTGTGTGCGGGGGGGGGGGGTATGTATGGATACGTGTGTATGTATGTTTTCAGTGCTGTCAGTAGTTTAGTGCGTGCATGAAAGGCCGTTGCTGCTCTGTGTGTGGTCGCTCCACTTGCAGGTATGGAATGTGGCGCGGCACGAAATGGAACATGAGCTGACTGGTCACATGGGCACAGTGAAGTCTGTACGCTTCATCCAGCATGGCATGTGAGTAGATAAGTCTGTGTGCTTCATCCTATGTACGTGGCATGTGACAGCTAGTCTCATGGCACCGCCTAATTACCCTGGATCCTCTCACACTCAGCAGGAATTGTGTGCAGTCTTTGAACACTTGTCTGCAGCAGAATTACACAGTCTGGATCTCGCTCTGTTTTTGTCTAGTCCAGCTAGTCCCATTGCATGGCACAATTGCCCTGTACGCTTAGCATGCATTGTGTACAGTCTTTTACAATTGTCTGCACCAGAATTATCCAGCCTGGCTCCACGCGGCTCTGGTCTTGTCTAGTCCAGCTACTGTCCTTCCTTCCTAGTCCCTGGTCGGATGTGAAACATAGTCATTGTGATACTATCGACAATTTAACCTTGCTCCTACACTGTAGAGTGTAGAACACCTGAAAATAGAGCATGGCCAAATTTTACAGCAGGCGGCATGCACTTGGTGCTCAGCAGAAAGTGGAGCTTCTGTTCCTGTTGTATTTCCTGGCAGAGTGACGGGCTCGGCTGACGGCACGATGCGAGTGTGGTCGACGGAGTCCTCGGATTTGCTGTACATCCTCAAGGACCACAGTGGTATGTCATAGCACGCAGTGCTGCCATTGCCTCACGGGCCGGGTGCCACGGTTAGCGGGTAATAGCCTCACTGAGGCTCTTGCACAATGCTCCCCTTGCCATATGTACTTTAAACCTAAGAGTGCGGAGAAACCAATCCTCCAGACTGCAGTAGCTCTACATTGTCTGTAGCAATGAGTATGAAGCCCGCTGTATGCAGATGATACCCTCGGATAGTGCTGATAGCACCAGTATGACTGCAGGCGGCCGTGAATTTCTGTTCTTCATCACACAAATATAAAGCATTGGTACTCTATCCATTTTATGAACTTTGGCCGAGACAGACGTGATAACTTAGTGATGGGCATTATAAGGCAATGGACTGAAATTCTGCGGCGTTCCCTCCAACCTAGGAGGCATTACTAACATTCGGCCATGACCGACCTAATGCACAGTTGTTTGCTTTTCATATGCAGGTGGTATCAATGCAGTACAGGTCTTGGAAGAGACTCCATCACACACAGTACTGATTTCCGCATCTGCTGACGGGTGAGCAGTTAGCCAGAGTCATAATAATAATATAATCTTTGTTCGACTTAATTTCTGTATTTATCATCGGTAATTTAAGCAGACCACAATGGCGACAAACCACCAGCACCTCCAGCACCAACACTACCACCAATCACTAGTACCAGCAACAGCAGCAGCACCACCACCAGCACTCTGTGACCACTATTTGCACCAGCACCAACACCAGTACCACCAACAGCAGCAGCAGCACCACCAGCAGCACCACCATCACCAGCACCGCCACCAGCACCAGCACTACCACCACTACCACACGAATTTGTGTTCTACCCACGGAACATTTCGCTCGTGTTTTTCTATATTAGCGTGCATGTGAACATGAACGTGTGTGTGTATGTGTCTGTGCGTGCATGGATGTGTGTGTGTGTGTGTGTGTGTGTGTGTGTGTGCGCGCGCGCGTGTGCGTGTGCGTGTGCTCAGGTAGCATTTAACGTACAGAGTGCATACCTTCTTGCCGGGTTTTCTCTTGTCGTGTTGGGGCAGCCTAAGTGCTATGTGACTTTTCTGCTTTTACAGGCGGGTGTTGACATGGGAAGTTCCGTCTCTGGCTGCACCTCGTCGGAAAGAAATATCCACCAGAATGTCCATAGACTCAGACAGCAGCGGACCACCGTCAGCGGCACCTATGCCAACAAGGGAACTCCACTCAAGCAGCGTTATCTTCACAGAGCAATCTGAGTGTACCTGTATCAAGGTAACTGGGAGTGCATGTGTGTGTGTGTGTGTGCCAGCTAGTTCGGTTGGTAGGTACACGTATGCCTGATTGTGTTGGGTCTGTTGCCAACAGGCTCGGCTGCTTGAAGGTGTAATGTTGTACCTGCCACCTTTGTTGGTTCCAGGGTTCATATACTTTCTATTTGAAGTATACATACCTGTTAACCATGGACTGCTTCTGGCTAGATTAACTCTTGTGTAATCAATGGTGCTAGTGAAGCTTTTATCAGATCCACTCTGATTTAGCCACTCACACTAGTAGCAAATATTACCTTCACTGGGGGCCGGGGTAACTGCAGTTGGATCCCAGGACGGATACCCTGATGCCGTCAATCCTTTTTCTGCACCTTGTCCTCACCCACTTACTGAGGTGTGGTGAGCCCATAAGTGGGATCATTTTCAAGTCCACCCAGAGTTTTGGGGATTTCAGGGGGTGTCGGCCGTTGGGCGGTTCAATAACCAGTTGAGTCATCTTTCCAAGATTCCTTTTGAGTCTCTCTCCCCTCTCCCGGGGGGACTCACGTGACCAGTTTTGGCAGTGAGCAACAAGTACAGTACAGTACAGTGTGTGTGTGTGTGTGTGTGTGCGTGTGTGCGTGTGCATGTGTGTGTGTGCGTGTGCATGTGTGTTTGTGTGTGTGTGTGTGTGTGTGTACACGTGTGTGTGTGTGTGTGTGTGTGTGTGTGTGTGTGTGTGTGTGTGTGTGTGTATGTCTGTCTGTCTGTCTGTCTGTTGATCTATGTATGTGTGTCTATTTGTCTGCCTGCCTGTCTGCCTGTCTGTCTGTCTGTCTGTCCGCCTGCCTGCCTGCCTGCCTGCCTGCCTGCCTGCCTGCCTGCCTGCCTGCCTGCCTGCATGTCTGTCTGTCTGTCTGTGTGCCTGACTATGTCTGTGTGTGAGGGGTCTGTCTGTGTGTGAATATGTTTGTCCATATGTCTCTCTATCTGTCTGTATGCATGTGTGTGAATGTGTGTATGCATGTTCATCTGTGTGTGTGTGGAGGGGGGGGGGGGGGGCAATGCAGATGAACTACCATTGCCCTCTGGATTATGGCATGTACAGCTTGGGTGGTTCAAGCCCTGATAAAGATCACTAAACGAATGATCCCTTTGTGAAGTTTTGTGTTGCAATGCTCCTGTCTCCTTTCTGTCTGTATCTTGCATGCAGATACTTGGTGATTTGCTGGCAGTTGGTGATAGTCGCGGCGATGTCACCTTCATTGCGTGGCGATCTGGGACCGAGCTCGACCAGATGAGCTGTGACAGCTATTGTGCTGTGCAAGCATTGGACATGATCGAGGAGTGGATGGTGACGTGCTCTGGGTGAGTTCCTTTCTGTGTGCACAACTGTGCAACTATACCAGTGGGACTGCACCATTACACTAGCACTGCCGCATAGTGCTGAGACGGGTTTATTGTCCAGAATACAACTGATTTCCACATCACTGCTTAGGCCTAACTACACATGTATATGGCCAAGGTGTCAGAATAGCCAGCAATAGGTGCTAAGAGTTGCAGGTAGCACAAGCCACAAGCGCAGGTAGCACATGTCACTGCCTATATATGGTATGCCACGTATGTACAATGTCAACACCTAACAAGGCAGTGTGCAAGTCGCACCAATGGAAGGTGTGATCGTCACAGTCCAGCTCTCGCCCTCCTCCACCCGAGGAATTTCGCCAGCCGCTTAACCCTTGTACTCTTGCGTATCTAAGTCCCTTCCTGGACTGCCTCGCCCGTAGTGCCATCGGTTTCCAGGTTTGGTCACTTGGAGAATCTGTGTCGCCTTGTTCCCAGCTTTTAACTGTTGAGATGGTGCTGCCTCCACTTCACTGTCCCCTGCATTGACCATACGCACAGTCGCACAGTCGCAAGCCCAAGCCCTCACTGTGTCATTGCTGCCAGTAAAAAGTTGGCTCAAGTAAGTACTCAGTCTTGGGCGTCCGGCCACTGAGTGTGCACAGGGAACACTGCTTCCTCACCCTCACCCGACCTATCGTGTCTTTCATCACAACTCTACACACTCCGGTTGGACGATTGGCTTTGTCCAATGGCCTTGAGTTTCGATACTGTACTGGCTCCAGCTTCTGGTGATGTCCCTGTGGAATCAAGGTGCTGCGTGGCCAGTCCCAGGTTTGCTTGCCTAAAGTCGGCCCCGCCAATCATGGGTACCACCAGGTCAGTCACAGCATGGAATGGGTAGTTAATTACAATGACCTTACCCAGACGAACTGTCATTCTCAGGACACCCTCTGTCTTGACCTCTTTGCTGGGCCGGATGCTGCTCTTGGGTTTGCTTGCGATGACTGCTGGATATACTGCTTTGGGTGATGACTGAGGTGTGCCCTACTGATCAAGCTGATGTCAGCACCGGTGTGCAGCAGCATGCTCACCTCCTGGCCTGCCATCTGGGCCCGCACAAAAGGGCTGCGTGTCAATTCACTTGCACCATGGGTACTTGGCTGTGTGGGTGATGTCGGTCGCCCCGTGCTACCGCCGTCCTGCACCTTGGACTGGTGGGGCGTTCTCGAAAAATCCTTCCGGTTCACAGCACGACACTCAGCCTGTGTATGTGGCCTCCAGGTAGGCGCCTCCCGCTTTCTTGATGGGCAATCTCCGAGTGACCAGCCGCCCATTTGGCACTGTGACCCATAGTACCAGCACTTCCAAATAATAGGCCCTGGCTTGTTTGTAGTGACATAATTATGTTAAGATAGACACCGGTGAATTGTTTTAGAAACACGGAAAATTAAAGGGGCAGTTAAGGCAAAAATCAAAATTTCACCAGTTGTAGTCTTCGGGGTGCTTAGTCGAATGGTCTTGGTCCGAGAAAGCTGAGACGCTTCCTTCCTACTTGAATCCCAATCGAACTCGCGCACTTCCACCGAAACTGGGTGACTGCGCCCTACTAGATGGGGATTTGTATGCAAAATGTCACTAAAAGCACCATTTCGTTCTTATAAAAGCACGGATGACCGCGATTGGCCCATATGTTGTAGTCTTTTGGACGCTGAGTGGACTGGTTTTGGTCCGAAAAGTCTGCGATGCAGAGTTTGGCCCTTATTCCCAATCGAACGTGGTTGAACAAGCGGTCACGTGCTCCTGGGTGCCCAAATCACCTGGTCACCACGCCAGCAGGCGACAACTTTCACACCAAGGTTCAACTCGAGTTCAACTCGAGTGACAGGACTGCACCCAAAAAAGGTCAAACAGGCTAGTAAGTTGTACCCTGCAGGCACGGTGACCAGGTGACTGGTGTACGCAGGAGCACGTGACCGCTTGTTCAACCATGTTCGATTGGGAATAAATGAGGAACGCTGCATCGCAGCCTTTTCGGACCAAAACCAGTCGACTCAGCGTCCAAAAGACTACAACATATGGGCCAATCGCGGTCATCCGTGCTTTTATAAGAACGAAATGGCGCTTTTAGTGACATTTTGCATACAAATCCCCATCTAACGTGTTAGTAGGGCGCAGTCACCCAGTTTCAGTGGAAGTGCGCGAGTTCGATTGGGATTCAAGTAGGAAGGGAGCGTCTCAGCTTTCTCGGACCAAGACCATTCAACTCAGCACCCCGAAGACTACAACTGGTGAAATTTTGATTTTAGAGCATCCCCATCCGGATAAAAAAAAGTGAAACTACGATTGAAGCGTCCTATAATCAATCCACGGAAGCAACTACACTGAGTAGACTGAAATATGCACGCAGCGGGTCTTCATTTTCCTGCACTAACTTTTTGATTTAAAATGACAAGTGTGTGTGTGTGTATGTGCGTGTGTGTGTGTGTGCGTGCGCGCGCGTGCTTGCGTGCGTGCGTGCGTGCGTGTGTGTGCATGCACGCGTTCATGTGTGGCCTTATCTGTGTGCATGCGTATACGCTTGGGTTGTTCGGCAATCTTCAGACACAAAGTTCGACAGTGGAGCTTGAAGACCGGTGAATGCCTTCGTCAGCTGATGGGCTACAAAGCTACTGTCAAGGACGTGAAGGTGAGCAATGTGCCAGAAACACAGAACACACACACGCACACACACACACACACACACACACACACACACACACACACACACACACACACACACGCACACGCACACGCACACGCACACGCACACGCACACACACACACACACACACACACACACACACATAGCTACATTACCACATTACCGTACTAACCACAGTAGCCAGGGCTTGGTTGTGCTGCTCTATGCCCCCATGACATTGCCAGAGCTCTTTCCCCGCTTTAGCCAAGAACAGCCATTATGGAGGCTTGGCCACTGAACAAGCCGTATTCAAGCATAGTGCCTGTAATGGCGTAACTGCCTACTTTCATAGCTACATGTGCGCATGTCGCGGTAAGAGAGAATGGTTGATGACAGCACTATTCGCTAGTTGGCCACCGTTTCATCAGGCTGCCAGGCAGTCGAATACTGAGAATAGCCTTTCCTGACAACCAGCACGGCTTGTGTAGCATTCTGGAAATGCTTGTGATGACTTCCAACCTGCATGGTTGTGTTGAGTATGAATTAGGACGACTGACGACATCTTCTCCAGAGACAATTCACAACGGGACAGGTAGGTGGAACGACATTTATTAGGGTAGACTAAGAGACGGAGACAAAGACGAACTACTACGACTACATTATGATTATTGACGAGAGCGAGATTATTTGAAGAGAGCGAGATTATTGAAGAGAGCGAGCTCGACTGAGAAACAACGCAATATAAAGGGCCTGGGTAGCTATGGCAAACATGGGCGCGCAAGTAGCTACCCAGGCCAACGGAACGAAAGGTGAGTATGACGTAGTACGGGTGCATGCAGACCGGCCAGCTTAGGAAAGGTTGTAGGTAAGATTGTACGGGAGGAGGTACCTAAAAAAAAAAAAAAAAATTCACGGTTCGCGTGAGACTCGGCTGGAAGCCGTACCTAACAGTTACCTAACAGTTGTAAAACTTGCGGATGTATTTGTGTGTTGATTACGCACAGTGTTACGGTGAACTGATCATCACTGGCTCAATGGACCGGGTGGCACGTATCTGGAACCCGAAAGACCCGTTCAACTATAGCCAGCCAAGATACACACGAGGAACAGTGGCACACCGGCCCAACGACGTCATCAAATACGACAAAAATGATCGCTGGACTGATGTGTGGGATCTTGCGGACCCGGAGGAGAATTACAGAGTCCAAGACAAAATTCCTCTGCTAGACGAACCAACTCCTTCGGTAAGTGCACCGGGCCTCGAGCGATTTTAAGCAGTTTGATTTGGTGTGCAGTCCACACTGCTATGTACTCTGCATGTCAACGGAGAACATAATCACAGTTGCGGCCTTGGCGCGCTTGCAAGCAAAATATTTGGCCAGTTTGCAATCGAAGAACATTTGCTTGACAAGAGCCGAGAAGCAGTCGGATACAGCAAACGGAATGCTGTGTTCTGCCACAAACGTGTTCCGCAAACCCTCAGCCTTCAGCAATCTGTCTGCAAATGAGGGGGGGGGGGGGGTGAGCAGCAGACGGTGCTCGTAACTCTGTCAAGCGAGCTTGACGACCTGAAGGCTTGGCATTTTCCACAGCACGAACGTGTCCAGCCATTTTGTGTGCCGTGCAACGTCATTCAGTCGACCAGCAGCTACACAAAAGTCCGTTCTACAGTAAATACAATACGCTGTGCTGCTGCTGCCCTACTGCTGTGCTGCTGCTGTGCTGCTGCCGTGTCCCGTGTTCAGTCTCCAGTCAACCTTCCAAACTTCCCGGATGAAACATGCCGAATACCTGTGCAGCTCAGCTTTGTCAACCACTTTTGAAGGCCAGGAGCACTGAAACCACTGCCGGAGTGTGTCCAGTGGTCCGCTGTGAGGCACGGTGGCCGCATACGCCTAGGCAGTGGGTGCTGAGGTACAGGTCGCTAGACAGCTGAAGACGCATCTACCCAACGACTGTGGTCATGTAGTCAAGAAGGCATACAGCCATATGACTGTATGAGGCTGGTAAGCGTCATGCCCTTGGACTGACACTGTGTTACAAGCTGCAGGCGCTGCACATACCAGTGAGTCGCACCCAGCCGTGTTAGCTGTTAGCTAACACTGCAGTAATACGACACTGTAGCAGCCGGAATGTTACTCCCAGCAGCTATCACTACAGCGGAACAGCACTCCTTCAGAATGATATTAGTACCTGGCACTGCATTGGGGAAACAGCACGTTCACCCAAGTTTGCTTCCTGGTAGACAATAGATGGTGCCGATGGATGGACTTAGTCTTGAGCTAGCCGTGAAGTTAGTCTTGATCTGAGATTGAATTTCTTGATTCGTCATTCAAAGTGCATGTATGATGTGCAGACAATAGTTGAAACGTTGTTGATGATTACTGATTGGTTAGTATTTTATGATCGTTCGTAGCGTCCTCTCCTCTCCCCTCTCTTTCTCTCTCTCTTTCTCTCTCTCTCTCTCTCTCTCTCTCTCTCTCTCTCTCTCTCTCTCTCTCTCTCTCTCTCTCTCTCTCTCTCTCTCTCTCTCTCTCTCTCTCTTCTCTCTTCTCTCTCCTCTTTCTCACTCACATTCTCTTGCTCACTCACTAAAGTCTGGGACACTTCTCTTGGAACTTGAAATCAATACTAGTAATTCATGAATGAGCACATTCCCAGATGGTGTGTGGAATACACGAGATGGATCCGAGAACAGTTTCTTGGGCTGTGCATGAGCACATAAACGTGTATGGTACATCGGCCCAGTTCTAGCCAGAACAAAGTTGGCCATGCTTATACCTCTGATGAGCCCCGAAAACTACCTCAAACTTTTGATTGGCACACAGTCATCATGTCATGCATATTCCCCTGGACTGCGGCATGCACTGCGGGTAGTGAATACTGTGTGGTAGCATGCAAAGGAGGCCTTGCGTGCACACACACACAACTGCGATGTATACATCTTTAGGTGTACGAGAGTTCAGATTGCAGTGCATGGCACGCACCAAGAAGTTGTTCACACGTGCACTCTTGCCAGGCTGCATGTGCATGAACTGGCGAGGCCGAGATCACGTTATGTCCTTTAGTCAGACAGCTGCGCGTACTGCTGCGGTAGTGCATCCCAGAAAACACAATAATTGTGTTGAATGGCCAACTGCACTCGTGTAGGGTGAATGTGTGATGCGCTCTGAAGTGAAGGCCGTTGGTACGAGTACGCAGGTACCTGTATAGTGGATGATCTGATTGAGTCTCCAGCTGTCAGCTCTGCACGGATGGGTCTCGTACAGCGATAGTGCATCATGTGGGGCAGTGCTTTTGCTATATGCACCCAGGATGTGCTTGTAATCAAGTAAGTTGTGTACTCTGCACTCGGCATATCCACCCCCGCCTCTCCCCTTTCTTTTCATTCATGATATTGGTGCGTCTAGCTCACTATGAAGCCGAGACCTCGGGTCGGCCGAGTGCACTGGGTCTCACCACCCTTCTGCTCCTTAGTTCTAACCAGATTGGAACTGAGACGGCATGGGCACTGGGCACGTCATGCGTGGCATGCTGAGCTCTGTCAAACTGCACATGCTAAGCACATGTTCAAACAATGCGGCTGTGATTGGTGTGGAACGAACACCTCAGTCATGCGAGTTTTCCTCAGTGCATGTTGCTGACCCCATGCAGAATGTTGCGATGTGCTCATGCATACCGGTAAGCCTATCTATAGTAGACCATCCCTGTACAAGTACAGAATTATACTATTCTACTTCTAGATGCATGGATCAGTGCAGACACTTCGACTTCGGACTGCACCCCTCAGGCCATGATATGCAGAAGCTATAGCAACTTGTACAACAGCTTGCACGGTTGGTTGACCTTCGCAATGAATCAGCTAGCCTGATCTACACTGGGAGTACCAAACACTTGAAAAGATTTTTTCAAGTTTAGTGCTCCTCGGTCCTACGTAGTGTAGCTTTTGGCGTGGTATTTCTGGCCAGTGAATCCCTACATTCTGGTCTTTGTTCTTATTTTCATTATTTCTCTCTCTTTTTTTAAAACCAGGGAATCATAAAACTCTCTGGTATGGCAACACAGGGGCGTCGGATACGCTACGGTCACTACGGTATTGACTCAGTGCACCACCACTCTTTTCCCCAGGTACCCCGTGAATCAATAAAATGCACTGATCTGGGCTCTGATTTTCGAAATATATTCAGCTCAGCCACCCCTCTCCCATGAGTACATTGCACTTCAGATGGCTGACCGTACCACACTACAAAACCCTTCCGACGCCCCTGGCCTGCTACACACAACAAAGCATACAGCACACATTGAATGTTACGAGACGTTAGTCATGTAGATCTACAGTGTAACTAGTAGGCCGACAGCTATCATAAGTCTACTGAGTACTGCATTTTTAAATCCAGATCAGTGCCGGAGAGCATGCACTACGTATACAGTGTGAGCTTGGCAGTACAGTATCCTGATTATGCTGAGTGTATCTAAAGTAACAGAGTGTTGTAACCAATAGATTTTTTCCGCCAAGGAAGACAAAGGTTAGGTCGGCGTGAAATAAATTGAGGGACATTGAACCGGCAGCAAATGTATTGGTCCTGCACTTGATATCTGCACGAATTAACATTTGCAATCGGAATTAGTCCACACCCTTGACACCCTACCCACCCACCCACCCACACACACCATGCCTCCACCCCCCACCCCCACACATGCAGCCACCCAGCCACACACATGCAAACAAACACATACATTATGCACACATACGCATGCACGCGCACCCACCCACACCCACACGCAATGTGCAAACGAGGCATCCGTGTACGTAACAAAGTGTTTGCAAAGTCTGGGAGAAATACGATTTATTGCATTACATGTTGTGTTATTCAAGGGAAAGGGAAATGCTATTATACGTCCCTGGAAAATAGTCAACGTAAGCAAGAGTTTAAAATGCAGTTGTTCACAGAATCATTACACACGGCATGTACTCTATATGCAAATAGTAGGCTAGCTACACGTGGAAGTCGAGTATAGTGCAAATAGCAGCACCGGGTGTACATGTGAAAATAGCATTAATAAGTTGAGGGCAGCGCAGATAGGGCTTAAATATAATGGCGAGGGGGTTTGTGTGTGCGCGCACGCGTGTGTGTGTGTGTGTGTGTGTGTGAGTGTGTGTGTGAGTGAGTGTGTGTGTGTGTGTGTGTGTGTGTGTGTGTGTGTGTGTGTGTGTGTCAGAACTCGAAACGAGCAAGGAGACAAGACACTCGTCACATGGCTGTCACAAGAGGTGACGTGACGCACAGCAAACAACAACCGGTCTATGCCGTACATTGGGTGGCACCGACGAGGGTGGGGGGGGGCAGGGCAGGAATAGGACATGAATAGGACAGGAACCAACATTGCCAGCAACTTGGTTGAATAGTGACAGACTTCTTATACTATAATAAGTTATAGAGTTCAGACGCAGTCTGGAAGTATTGTGGTAGTGAGCAGGGTATCGCGACTAGATCTTCCTGCTTCTGACCAGATTGTTGAACCACTGACCACTGTACAGCAGCTCACTTGGTCTGACCGTTGACAGGAAGCGGCACTGCAGCAAATCGGCCACAGACAAGCCGCCGACCATACCACTCAGGGCGACCGACGACAGCAGCCCAGTCTGGCGTCTAGCTATCCACTTCTTGACGGCGTCACGCGTGAAGTTGACCTTATCGGCGTGCTGGTTGAAGGAGGGCTTGTTGTCGATGCTAACGTCCGACAGTACAGGACTTTCCTGGCCAGCAGGCTCTGCCTGTCGCAGCCAGGCGCGTGGACCCCACAGCCAGCACTCGATTAGGCGACGCGTCCTGGTCAGTGACAAGCGAATGCTGGGCGCTGGCACCATCAGCGCTTTGCAGATGTAGTGAAGAAACGACGGATGGTCGCCGTCGAACACTTCCAACAGCTCTGACAGGAAGACGCCAACTGCGTACGCGTCCACGCAGCTGAAGTCCAATTGCGGCGAGGAGTCGCACAGGCCAATGATCTCCGGTGGTAAGTGATTGATGTTGCAGCCTAGGTACATCAGGTCATTGACATCATACACAAACCATTCCGGCGGGGGGTTCTTCGTGGACTCCACTTTGGTCTTTTTGTCTGATGCCGCACTCAGAGCATACTCAAAGCCGGCCAGCAGCAATCGGTCACCACTGCAGTAGCGAAACACAATAGAAACACAGGCAGCATGTAGACAAGAATATATTTATTTATTAAACTCAATCTCGGAGCACGTGATGCGGGGAGCAACCCCAGAGACGAGGGCGCTACCCAGCGATGGGAAAAGTAAGTTACAGTGGCAGTAGCATTAGCTATTCAATTGTGCATGTGCGCATGTGCGCGCGTGTGTGTGTGTGTGTAGGGGGGGGGGGGGTGTACATACATGTATCTGTATCAATTAATGGCTTTCTGTCCAAGTTTCTGACTGTGTCAGCGTGCGGGTGAGTACCGTAAAGTCTTGTATAAAAGCCGCGCTTGAATAGAAGCCACCCTCGAATAGAAGCCGCAATTTTGGGCCCATCAAATCACACATAAGCCTGGTTTTAGTGTTGACATACATAGAAATACCTGTCTTGTATAGAAAAAAATGAAGCTGAAGACACCACTGCAGCTGTACTTATGGTTGATAAATATGGTGGTAAAGACACATGTAGACTGGTGTGTCTTTACCACCATATTTATCAACCATAAGTACAGCTGCAGTGGTGTCTTCAGCTTCATTCTCCAGAGTCAAGCTCCGTATGAAGACATCCAAGAAGAAGATTGCCTGATGAGTCCAGCGGGGACGAAACGTACGTCGCAATCGAGCTATGTCGTTGCTGTGTCATCATCTATGTGCCATGCGCTACTTGATGTACCAGCCTGCTATGCCGGATACCGCCAGCCATGCATCGACCAGGCGCCAGGCGCGAACTGATGGTGGTGGTGGTGAGAAGGAGAGCTCTGTGCCAGAACTTTGCAGCCTAGAGAGCGTGTGTGGGCAGGCGTGTGTTTACCGCCATATTGCCAGGTGTGTCTTTACCACCATATTGATCAACCTGTCTTGTATAGAAGCCTGCAAAATTTCACCAAGAAAGTCATAGAAGCCACGGCTTTTATACAAGATTTTTCGGCATGTAACTAGACACGAAAGTAATACTCCGTGATCTAGGGCTGTTTCTCAGTCTCACACAAAGGATGCGTTCTTTTGATTTACTTAGTAGAGACACAGAACAGATTTACGGGAAGAAAAAAAATGGACTCGGATGGAGAGCCAAGGATTAATTTATAAAAAATAAAACCAAGGAACTGATTGTTTAGTACCTGGTGAGTCCATAACCCCAAGAGTGTGCAACTCTGTACATGGGGATCCGCGCGGCGGAATTCCAACTTTACGTCAAAAATGACGTACACTTTCGTTGCGCTTGTACTGCTCCCTGATTCCAAGCACCGCGGCCGCGGATCGGAATGCAGAGTTTTGTCCTCTGTGCCTCAGCGGCATGACGTAATGTTGGAATTCCGCCGCGCAGTGGGCCTACAGCAGCCTGCAGTCCCCAGTTGCACACTCTTGGGGTTGTGGACTCTTGCTGGTACATGGATAGTGGACATTATAGCGTAGCCTGTAGTTCCTTGGTCCTTTTTATTTTTTATTAAAAAAAGAACAGTGGATGAAAGTTCACAAACGCAGATCTACCTATTCCGGTAGACCATCAATGTAAAGGCCATTATGTAGATCACTCATCCCTGCAGCACTTACAGTACGGCGTACGGTAAAACTCCCCAGATCCGGGCACGTTGGGACCGTGCGCTGCCTGTAACTAGGAATTGCCCGTAACTCGGAACTTACATACTTACTGCATTCAATTAAAGATGTTATGACTGGTTTGGGGCCATTTTTTCTGACTCTAGAGAGGTCAGAAAGGTGCCCGGTAGACGGCGGTGCCCGGATTAGGGGTGTCCGGATCTGGGCAGTTTTACTGTACGCTTTGTGGAAAGCAGCTCCTGAGGTCATACATGTACAGAAATCCTGTACCTCTACCGACTTACCGTAATGTCGCGTGTAAAAGCAGGTGCTTATGGCCGTATAAGCCGGGGTTCAAACCATGCTTCTATTCAAGTTGTGCTTCTATTCGAAACATGCTTCTACGTCAACATTGTCACGTATGTAGTGCGCAAGTACATGATACATGCATGCTTCTATTCAAATCGTGCTTCTGTGTCATGACGCGCTTCGAAAAAATCGGCCTCTATTCGAGTCATGCTTTTACACGCGACACTACAGTATACGTTTTTCAAACCTGGTAGATCCGGAAGAGGAAAGTAGAATTTGCCATTTGGTATAGAAAACAGGAACGAATCAACGGAAAGTTTCTACCGAACCTGCAGATCTAAAACGAATGCCCCCCCCCCCCCACACTGAGAACACCTGCAAAAGAGCGGTACTCACTGCAAACAAGCTATGGTGGAATTGCCACATTGTTGACAAAGACTACGTTCAGCCGAGAGTTAGTCTACACTTTGCCTGGCCCAAATAGGGAATAAAGTAAGCAGGGCATGAGTTGAGTGCTTAGTCGAGAGATTTTGCAACTCCGAAAAGAGCACAATCGACTCTGGACTTGCTGGCTGGGTTAGCGGTCTTGTTGGACAGCTCGTTTCTGATACGGTAGATGTGCTGACAAAGCTCATTAGCCGCTGACGAAACCACCATTGGTTTTGTCAGCAAGAATACATACCCCCCCCCCCCAGAGTGTGCAACTCAGCTATGGGTGCTGTCCCAACAGAATTTCAAATTGATGTCATTTTCATGATGCAATGCGCACTGTGCATGTATTATCAGACATATCCTGAACCTGTGGTGGACAAAGCCCCGTTTTATCCGGTATAAATTAGTGCAAAGAAAAAAAAACGTGTGTTGTGTTGACAAATGTCGTAAATCACTGGTGCAAGGAGCATTGCATCACAAAAAGACGTCAACTTGAAATTCTGTCGGGACAGCAGGGTATGTGGAAGTTGCACACTCTGGGGGGTTATGTACTCGTGTTGTCAGTGAATGATGACGAGATGCAAGAAACCTCTACTGACCCCCGTCTTGACTAGTGTGAAACGGCTAGTGATATTTTAGCAATTTTAGCGAAAGGAGTGTTTTCGCTAAAGTTTTGCTGCGCCAATTGAAATTTTGCATGTGCAGTACAGTACTACATGTATATCATCCTTCTTTTTAAACTCTGAAACTCGGATCGCTAAAATATTTCATCGCGAATTGGTCCAGATTCAGAAAACGCTAAAATTAGCCGTTCTGCAGTATCAGTAGCTAGAATTGGTACGTACCTTAAGCCATCGACAGGTCCAATCATCATCTTGTCCAGATCAATGTGTCGATGCACAATGCCAAAGGACTGGGCATGCTCCAGTGCCAGCAGAAGCTGCAGCAGGAGCAGCGTGATGCACTCTTCTTTGTCCTTCAGCCTCTTGCCACTCAGGTTCTCGGCAACATACTCGTAGCCTCCCACGTAGTTGTGCATCGAGTCGGTGATGAAGCAGGCGTGACTCAGACAGTCGCTGGTGGCCATGTCCATCTTGCACTCTATCTCCAGTGGCAAGCGCTGGATAACCTTTCCGCATGGACGCAGTATGTTGAAATGCGGTGTCATGACCTCGCGAATCGTGGCGTCTCGTGCAACTTCAGCCGACTTGGATCGCTTTAGGGTGACCATCATCTCAATCTGGACGAGGAAAATCCAAAGTCACAGAGATTAGGAAGAGTCCCAAATACAGCACCACAGTGAGTGTGTGTGAGTGTGTGTGAGTGTGTGTGTGTGTGTGTGTGTGTGTGTGTGTGAGTATGTGTGTGTGTGTGTGTGTGTGCGTGCAAATGCCTAGGTGAGCGCCGCAAACCTGTATCAGTATAGAGAGGTAGCCGACAATGTTCTGCCTGCCAGCGCTGGTTCCGCAGTGCTGGGGGGTTTGGCGGTCCACAAGTGCCCCATCTCTTCAGGCGCTCCCCACGGCATCATCTCAAGCTCCATGCCGAACAGCGGTGTGCACCATTGCTGCTCACTGACTCCTCCGCCGCCGCGTGTCATCTCTCGTGTTGCAAGGCCCAATGTGGGGCCTGTGGTCGGTGCTGCCGCTCTACTCATAGCTTCCAAATCCATAGCTGCCGGAGGTGGCTCTCTCGTGGTGCCAATTGAACATGGTCCCTGACCTCTCGGCAGACTGCCGACTTTCTGCCGTCGCTCGTCGTTCCATGTATTGTTGTTGGCCCCCGCAAGGGGACACACGACTGTAATGGCAGTGTTTACCAGAACCAGGACCAGGACCAGGACCAGGTGTGTGTGTTTGTGTGTGTGTGTGTGTGTGTGTGTGTGTGTGTGTGTGTGTGTGTGTGTGTGTGTGTGTGTATGTGTGTGTGTGTATGGCCAGAAAAAACACTTCATAGCTGTGTGGTGTAGACCAGGCTGAATAGGGGTGGTCATTTCTTCAGCCTTGCAAGCTGTTGAATAGTGCAATCCCAGCACAAGTTGCTGTGGCTTCTGCTGTTAGCATCGCTATGGGCGTCAAAAGGTCAAAGGTTTGTGTGTGTGTGTGTGTGTGTGTGTGTGTGTGTCGTAGCAGACCATGCTGGCAGCAGGCAATGCACCGCATGTCTTCGCTGGTTTCGCAGCCCTGGCGGACTGGCCGTCCACAAATGCCTGGATATGCACCCATCTGCTACTCCAGTGCACGACGAAACCACCGCTTCTGGACCATCGTGTGACACCCGCCAGCGGCTCGCCCTACCTTGCTGCAGAGCCCACTGCAGCAAATGCGATCGTTGTTGCAAGTCAACCCGAGGATTCCAGCTACACAACTGCAACAAATGGATCAATGAAATGGCTAGGAAACCTCGCTAGGTCGTTGATGCGACACAGTGCCTCAACCCAACTCTCCATGTCTGTCGGCCCCTCACACGAGGGGACATGTAACCGGAAACGGCAATGTTCAGGACAGGACAGGACAGGTGTGTGTGTGCGTGTGTGTGTGTGTGTGTGTGTGCGTGTGCGTGTGTGTGTGTGCGTGTGTGTGTGTGCGTGTGTGTGTGTTCGTGAGAGAGGGGAGGGGGGGGGGGGGAGGGGGAGGGGAGAGCATGTGTATGTGTATGAGTGATGTGGTGATTGTGTGATAGAGTATGTTTTGCATGACGGTTATCTGAACACATCAGGGCCGCGCCGCCCTGTTTAGACACTTGAATATATTATAATAATTACACAAGAGAGATTGGAAGCTTTGTCACAACTCTGAGTTTCACATATTACTACGATCATCAGGCAACATTATAATAAGGCCACCTAGAATTAATTCGTTGTTTCGGGTCACTTCACTCATCCGTACCAGGGTCGGTCGGTCGGGTTTATTTTTTATTTTGGTTACTGCCATGTATATGTGCATACATGTACAATTGTGCGTATCGAATAGCTTTTGTCCATCAAACCAGTCGATCAAATCATGACTATAGACGATCCAGCGCAGTCATTGTCCCATCAGATCCAGGTCTCCTCCAGGACCAGACCTTGGCCTCGCTGGCAAACGAGTCTGAGGAGCAGCTCTCACCTTGAAAACGTCTGACAAAGAGCGACGCGGTGGCGGAGCTGATGCTGTTTCAGGACCGATTGCGGATCGGAGATAATAATAGAAGACAACATCGTCACCAAGCGCTGCATCCTGTCATTTTATTTGGCTGCTTCTGAGGTCGATGTCTTGACTGCTATTATTAGGTGCGCGTGTACACGTACGTACATAGTCTAGGAACACACTCCACAATCCAGTGCGTCGTTACTATAATAGCTTTCATGGCTGAGGTTGTTGGTATGCCTGTTGGCTCTGGGTTCCCAGTACTCAGTAGCCGAGGCTGGTTGGTAAAGTAACTCCAATTTCACTTCAAGGTACCAGTACATCTAGTGTCTGCTTCTATCAAAGCAGCATGCTGTCTATACTCTTACCCCAACTAGTGTAGGGTGTGCATAGGTAACTGTCTTGGCCGTTTTATGCCGATGTACTCCGTGTGGTGTAGACCAGGTGTGCATTGGTGGTCGATTCACATGGCTTCGCCAGTTGTGTGGATCAGACAGTTATCTGGCGCAAGTCTTGATCTGTCTCATTCAGATCTTGTTCGCTATCGTTGCTATAAGAGAAAATCCGTGGGTGCACATCCAGTGCATTTGCAGATTTGCGTGCTTCTCTTGCGACGGGCGTATACATGGTACATAGTCTAGTCATGTACATTTGCATGCACTATAAAAAAAAAACATTTTGCGGTCGGGTGACCCAAAACAACGAATTAATTCTGGGTGGCCTAATTATGTATTCATGTGTTACTGAAGCCGTGGTCTTCCACTACCCAATGTGTCTCTTTTGATAGCATGTTGCCACCATGTTTTTTACTACAGTTGAATTTTGATACACGTGTCAGGGATCGCATGCACGCTTGCACAGGCAGTTGAGGAAGTTGTAAACTCTGAAGGGTAGTGAGGCAATTTCAGCATAATTATAGCGTATAATTTATAGCGTATAATTCTCCATGTGACTGGTGGCCAAGTTGAGTGACGTGTTTGGATGTGTGAAGTCGGGATAACCCATCACCTTGCGGCACCAAGAAGCCAGAGAGGCGAGTAAGTTTCCGGTCCAAATTCAGGGGCGTTGGAAGGTATTTTAGTGTGGTATGGTCAGCCATCTGAAGTACAATTTACTCGTGGGGGAGGCCTGAGCCGAAAAATTTGGAAATTTAGAGCCGAAATCAGTGCATTATATTGATTCACGGGGTACTTGGGGCAAATAGTGGTACGGTCAATACCGTAGTGACCGTACCGTAGTGACCGTACCGTGTGCGACGCCCCTGAAATTCCCTTCAAGCCCCCACATGCCTCATACTAGTATCAGTCGTGAGGTGTCATTGATTCTTAAAAGTTTGTCATGTGCGACTCCCCTAGCCTTACCTCCATGGAGAAGCGTGTGGCGGTTCCATCCCGACAGTGCTCGAAGTGGGTCAGCAGGGTGGTTGGAAACTGACCATCGGTATGGCCAATCAATTTCAAATGCTTCCAGTCGGACACAGATTTCGCAATGTTGGCCGGCATCCGCTTCCAGACCAGATGCGAGGCGTTGCGCCACATGCTGGCCAGTCCTTCTTGAATGGAGGAGATCTGGTTGTCTCTCGTTGAGAACTGCTCCATCTGCTCTGCAGCACTGGAACATGTACTGTCCGTAGATACGCGGTGCATCAATGCCAGCATGGTTAATTTCGGCGTAGTGTTACTGGCAGCACAGGGGGCAGAGCTGGATGGATAGAAATCAGGCATTCCCTCTTCAGATTGTAGACTTTGGTCCTTTGACGAGCCTTTGAAGCGGAACGCATGCCCTCGATGCGATCTCCACAACGACGGTCTAGAGCGAGAGCGGGGTGTCTCAGGAGATGGAGTGGAAGACGGAGGAGATGTTGGTCTGGACGTGTAAGGTCCAAGCATGACGTCATGCGATGGGCTGGGTTCAGTTAAAGTTGGCGGTAAGTTGATGCTGACACTAGAGCCGTCAACGCTGTTGCTGGCCTTTGGCTTCATCAGCTTGATAATTTCTCTGCTCCGATTCCTGTTAAACACCATGCGAATGACTTTCTTGAAGGTTGGTTTGAGTGGGTCGCCTGGCAGTGAGCGGCGAGGCTCATCAGTGCCGCCTAGTGTGTCCAGACTGTCCTCTTCGCCATGCTTTGGATCATCAATGCACGTGTCGCTGGCAGATGCAGTCCGGCTAACATCTGCCGTACTGCCACCGGCGTACTTGGCTTTGCTACTGCTGGACTCTGCTCGCGACAGCGGCGTACAGGCCACATTCATGCACGGTCCAGACCGGTGGATGCCCGACTCATTGCTGTCCCCGAGGCTCTCTCTCTCCTGGTGTGCATGTAGCCCGGAAGGGTTGCTTGAACACAATAGCCGTTGTTCTGCGGAGCGTTGGCGACTGCTGGCAGGATGCTTCTCTGGCGTACTGGGTTCTGATGATGGTGTGCTCATTCCTGATGAAACCGATGGCCTAAACGGAGGTACTTTCCCAAGCAAATGGAAACTGGACGTGAAGGGCACGGAAAATGCCCTAGGTGAGGATGCATGAGACAAACTCGAAGCCGGGCTCATGGTTGTATCAGCACCTGTCGAGGTAAACGAATCCGATCGCAGGGCAAGCAAGCATGGGCGTGGGCAGGCCCCAGTCGCCTCGACATATTTACTGCTGCAAAGGGATGAGGTTGACGGTGATTGCTGCAGCTGCTGCTCACATTTCACATCACCACCGTCCCCAGACTTGCTGCCCACCGCCTCACCTGCATCATTGGCCGATGAACCAACTGACAGTAACGAGGTGCGATTGACAAGCACGACCGGGTTGCCATCAATACTGAAGTCTGTAGGGGTAGGTAGAACATGCCCAACAACACTGCTGCCACGCGGCGGTGAAGGTCCACAGTCAAATGTGCTTAACACTTCCGCTGGCAAAGAGGAGGGCTGCTGGGGTTCTACTCCATCAGCTGATGAATGACGTGTCGTGGGCACAGTGTCATAACCACTCTCCGTGTCCGTTTTCCGTCTCAGCGGCCGTTCATACGTAAATGTTGACGAAACTTGAGAACTTTCATTGATTTTCCTCAAGGCTTGTATACGAGCGGACACCGGGCTAGAAGCAGACAGTTTCTTCGGACTGAGATCGGGGGTGGTGGACTTGTCAATGTCGCCTCTGGACAGCCTTCCGCAGCGCCTGCCGCCAACTCCTGTTCTTGACTCATGCTCAAAAGCGGAGCCCACAGATTTTCTAGAAAGTTCAAACACGTGTGTGTTTTCCTGACAAAAACAGTCGATGCAGATCCCTTTCCTCCACGGATGTGGGCGAAATCCTCGGCAGGGCTGGTTCATTGTGTGCGATTGCCTGGCAGACTAGACAATCCCAACTAATTTCATCATGGCTTTCGAAGTTAGTAACTCGAAGAGCAACTGCAAGACGGAAAATGTTTTCAAGTCGGGGAGCACCCGACGCCAAGGTGAGGAGGTCAGAGTTGGTCAGGCTTTGCATGGGTCATGGAGGCGTTTGAGGCCTGCACTGGCCTGTACTGGCTGTAGCTGTACTGCTGGATCCATACATCTTTTGTTTTGTCCTTGTTTGGGTTGCCTGTCACTTTTACGATAGCGAGGCTCGCCGTGTGCAATGATTATCATGACCCACAATGATAGCCATGGCGCTGGCCAATAACCAGTGTTCTTGCCGCCCACGTGATCACACCAAGCGCCCCATGATGACGTAACTACAGTCCATTCATAAAAAGATGGGTCCTGGCTCTGGCGAGCTCCCGTATTTGGCGATTTTTCGTGATTTCATCGTACACAGTGCAGTGCTGCGAACTTTGAAATTTGAAAAAGGGTCCAAAAAGGGTGCCTGAACTGGGGTTCGAACCGCCGAATGCACTGTTGCAGGCGGGGTCAAACGGCCTGGATTTTGATGGTTTTTCCCAATTCAGTGCTTTTGGGGCAAAACCTGGCCGAAATCCTATTCTTGCTATGGCTTGCTTTTTGGACAAAAAAACTTCAGAAACATAATTGGAAGAGGATTCCATAATTATGGGATTGCAGAAAAAAATTCTAAAAAAACTCAACGTTTGACCCATTTATGGCCAAAAGCTAGAAGTTCATTTTTTTCTGAATGGACTAGACTGTAGACGAGTGCAGAGCAGGCTGCCGCCACTCCAACAGCGAGCCATGTCATTATAGGCGATTCACACGACAGGCAAATCCACGTCAGGAAAGTCACCATGGAGATATTCCTGCGGGTGACCAAAATTTGCCCGCGGGAATCAAAAGTGTCCATGGCCTTTTTGCCCGCGGATGCACTCATCTGCGGGCACTTTTACAGTTATGAGGCTGTGAGGTCGTACTATGGTACGGTAGTCTTGAACCCTGGTTGTTTGGCCTTTGTTTTTGGGTACTCATTCCAAATCACCACAGTAACGCCGTATACTCACCGGATACTCGCGGGAGCTCAGGCCGCCACCCGCGGCCGTGTGAACTGCGGCCTCACGTTTCACTTCCTGCGGGCACTTGACAAACGTGGATTTGCCTGTCGTGTGAATCGCCTATTAGCCAGAGAGAAGGGAGGCTCTAGTACGCTCACGTCCATCCCAGTATCGGAACATGGGCTGTGTTTCGACGCGAAAGCCGATTTCCATGATCATGTCCACCTGCGCTATGGCTGGCCCTTGGATAGGCTGCCGGATACCTGTCGCTGTGGAGAGCGGTTCACTGTGGACCATGCCCAGATATGTAAGCTGTCGGGCGCCCGGGCTTCATTCACATGCGCCATGATGAGGTCACCAATTTCCTAGCCTCATGCATGAAAGAGATCCACAACGATGTGGAAGTTGAGCCGACACTCCAACCCATCACCGGTGAAGCCTTTCGCTATCGTACTGCCAATGTTGAGCCCGATGCGCGAGCGGACATCCGGTGCGGGGCTTTTGGAACCATAGCCGCAATGCATTTTTCGATACGAGGGTGTTCTATCCCCACGCAGCGAGCTATCGGTCCCAGCCCATTGCATCTATTTATCGCAAGTTGGAAGGTGCCAAGAAGCGGGAGTATGGCGAAAGAGTTAACCAAGTTGAACATGGCTCGTTCACACCACTGGTCTTCTCCTCTTGCGGCGGAATGGGTCCAGAGGCAGCCATCGTCGTCAAGCGGATTGCTGATGCTCTGGCTTCTAAGCGCAAGGAGAGCTACAGCAAAGTCGTTTGCTGGATGCGCTGCTGCTTGGCTTTCTCTCTTGCTAGGTCTGCGATCCGGTGCGTTCGAGGATCACGCTCCGTTCGCCGCCGTCACATCAAACTGCTTACAGACCACCAGGACAGCCTGTCGCATTTTGGGAGACCTTCTCCTCCGCTGTAGACCACGTTATAGCGCGGAATGACAAGACCATCATTCTAGGAGATTTTAATGTTGATGTCCTAAAGAAGACATCACCACAATACGGACACCTACGTCAACACTGCCAAGAATTTTGTCTGCGGAATGTCGTGACCCAACCGACCAGGCTGCCCTCGGGTACCTGCCTCGATATAGCGCTATGCTCTGACGACCTTTAAACTTCCGCATGTGATGCCATTGCCCTGCACGGCATTACTGACCATCAGCTGGTCTTAGTAAAGACTGTCTTGCCTATGACTAAACCTACGAGAGTTGTGCGGCAGTTACGGAAGCCGCCATTGTGGAAACTGCCTGCAGACGAATGCACCGATTCCATGCTTGATGCACTCACTGATTCCGCCTTCCGCAGAGTACCCCCAGATGGCTCACCAGACGTTAACACAATGGCAACTAGCTTCTCTATTCTATGCAAAAGAGTTCTGAACAAAAAGTCGCCTGTGAAACAAATTACCATCAGTGCTAGGGCTAAGCCTAAACCACAGCCTTGGGTAAGCGATCAACTCCGACGGTTGTTAGAAAGGCGCAAGCACCTCCACGCGAAGGTTTTGAAACATCCCGGAAATGAATCTGTGAAACAACAGTACAGGGCAACAAGGAGGGAAGGCACACTGTTAAATAGAAAGCTGAGACGAGAGTATTACAACAGGGAGTTTCGAGATGTGAAGAATAAGCCAAGGCAACAGTGGGCGCTTCTAAACTCGCTCACAGGGCGCAACTTTGTCCGTGAACAACCAAAAGCTACGTTAGGCGATCTGAGTGCCACATTTGCGTCCATTGTCACTGATCCTAATCCTTGCCCACCCTTGAGCAACCTAATACCTGACATCTCGACAACAGCTGACGCAGACGCCCCATCTTTTAAAGAATTTCGTGCCGTTTCAGCTCTGGAGATAAGCGACCTGTTGAAGCATTTGAACTGTGCCAAGGCAGCTGGATCGGATGACATTCCTCCTCTGCTCCTACGCCTCTGTGAGCCTGCCGCTGCAGGTCCCATAGCGCAGATCATTAACGAGTCCTTGAGTACTGGAATGGTGCCAGATGTGTACAAATTGGCTACAGTGTGTCCTGTCCACAAGTCAGGGGACTAATCTGAAGCGTCGAATTATCGCCCCGTTTCACTTTTGCCGATTGTTTCTAATATCCTCGAGAAGGTAGTACATCGGCAAATGATAAGGTTCCTCAAAGATCACGCTGAGCTTCGTATTCTCCCAGACGAGCAATTCGCCTACCGCAGAGGGCACTCCTGTGAGGATGCGTTAACTCTCGCAGTAAACCGCTGGATGATGAGTGTGGACAAGGGCGAGTATTGCGGGGTTGTACTCGTGGACATGAGCAAGGCCTTCGATCGGGTACGCCATGAACTACTACTTAACGAGCTTCAAGCTATTGGCATAAGCGGAGTAGCACTACAGTGGTTCTCCAGCTATCTCCAGGGTCGACGACAACAGGTGAAAATTGGAAATAACAGAGGAGACGAGACACATTGTACACGAGGCGTTCCGCAAGGGTCGGTGCTAGGGCCTCTGTTATTCTCTTTGTACGTGCGACATGTCCCTGGAGTACTTCGCCGCGCAGAGTCCCAACAGTATGCTGACGATATCGCCTTTTATATACACTGTCAGTCTACTGGAGAACTTCAGCACAAGTTGACAAGTGAGTTGAACAGACTAAATACGTACCTTGGAAGCATTGGTCTCATCTTGAATGCCCAGAAAACGAAGTTCATGGTGCTTCGGAAGAAGGCTCTGCCTCTTCCGCCGGATCTTACCATTGCATGCGGTGGTGTCGATATTCGACCTTCTGCCACAGCGCGTTATCTTGGCCTCATTATTGACCAACACCTCACCTTTGAGGACCAAGTCAACCATGCATGTACATCTGTTTATAAGAAGATAGGAGCATTCCGCCGCTGCCGCCGTACAGTAGACCACACAACTAAGCGAATATTTTATTTATCCCTCATCCAATCCACTATTGAATACGCCAGCAACTCGTATGCTCACTGTCTTACACCATCTTTATACTCTCGCCTTGTTACTTTAAGTCATATCAGCATGAAACAGGTTTTTGGTCTCCCTCGCCGTACCCCGACTGTCTTTGTTTTGCGGCACGCTAAGTTATACTCCCTCGAATCTCGTCTCAACTTGAGGCTTTTTATTTTTGTTTTCCGCTGTATTCATCAGCTTACAAGTCCTCTTCTTTCCTCAATGTTCACCCTCCAGTCGGCTGCTACTTGCACCGAGAGGCGCACTAGAGGGCAATCATTCTCTTCACTTTCTTTGCCCGCTGCTACCACTAGATATGGCATGTTCTCCATTTCTTTCCTTGGCGCTGATAGGTGGAATTTTCTGCCTGTCTCGTGTCGTCAGGTTGAGCATCTATCCGTTTTTGTTTCGCTCTGTAAAGAGCACTTAGGGTTCCCTGTAACAAGACGGCAACGTCTGTAGGGCCTTCCCTATCAAAATAATAAATTCTACTACTACTACTACTACTACTACTACTACTACTACTACTACTACTACTACTACCTTGTGCCTGTCGACCTCGTCCAGGCTGAGGCTCGCCTTGCTACGCATTAGACTGTCTTCACAGCCATTTTAGCTCCCTCCTTATTGGACTGTTTTCACAGCCATTGTAGCTTCCTCCGTATAAGACTGTTTTCACAGCCATTTCAGCTCATTTTCTCTCGGTACTAAGCTGTTGACCTTGCACTTGTGTTTATTAATTTTGCCCGTACAAGAGGCTTGGAACCACGTAAAAAAAAAAAAAAAACTAGACGAGTCCATTTCCGGAAGTACGCACTACGCACTGGTTATGCCTTCCGCGATCCGGTTGTACGCGAGAGCGCACGGTGCATGTACACTGTACCGTGCACGCGCGCCGGCGCGTCTGGCCTTTGACCTTTTCCCCACTAGACCCGGGTGCTGAGACAGGGTACCAAAACAGAAACAGCCTGAAATTGTACCTAAACTTGTTCCGATTTCGTTTAGTTTTCACATGATATTACGACCCACTTTTTGCTGGGTCCTTGATTCGAGGATGTGGGTCTCCTGTACGGTGCTGCCAAAGACCTGCTGAATCTGCGGCTCCACTGACCATCTTGCTCTCAAAAACGAAGTAGTAAGTAAGTTACTACTCCCTGCCCTCAACTGCCACACCAAGCGTAGACGATGGTAGACCCGTTACTACGGTTACGAGTCGTACTACCAAGAGTACATAACGCAAGAGTACATAACCTGATAACCCCCCAGAGTGTGCAACGCCGATCCAGCTCTGTGTAGGGTCTTGGTCGAGCGGAATCGGATCTTCTGATGTCATGCGTACACTTCACACCAGCGCAAGGCCGGTCTCGAGGCAGGGCACCATTGTTTTTGATCCAAGAGTACCCGCGACTTCCCGGGTTCCCCTCGGATGTGTACGGTATTATGACGCAAAGATCCGATTCCGCTCGACCAAGACCCTATGCAGAGCTGGATCAGGCGTTGCACACTCTGGGGGGTTATGTACTCTTGGTACTACATGTAATTTCGGAAATCATTAATTTTTTATCTTCGGAAAGATTTCTGCGATGTTAAGAAGTTCTGAGTCACAATGAGTTGAGAATATTAACTTTTATTTTACTAGGGTGTTTCCCACAGTCTGGGCCACAGACCTATGGTCTTCTTACGAGAGCCCCTAGGAAGGTTATGCATGAGCGAATAAATGAGCGGTAATCGGTACAAGTAGAAGCCATGCCTTGCCGCAACGTTATGGTGCTTTGTAGGGAATTGTAGCTCTGTGCCAAAATGGCTGGCCCAGGACCCAGGCATGGATGGGCTCCGAGTTCTTCTTCCTATTTTTTCGATGTGATTTCTAGTACATGTATTGCCAATGGCAAGAATGGGGTACTTCTGCAACATCCAACTCTGAAGCGTAATAACTCAGTTAGAGAGGCATGAGCATTTTGCCTCGAACCCAGGCTTTTAAAGTTTCACCAAGATGGGCCATAGACCTACACTAGTTTCATTCCAAATCATCTAGTCACGTGGACACACCCACCCCACATGACCCTCAGTTATCTTCCGTGAACGGTTTCCTCAGGCTATTCGACCCCGCTCTTTGAAGTTGTATGGTTGTGCTGTTGAGGCAGCGAACTAAAAATTAATAACCGTCAACTCGAACAAACATGCACACACACACACACACACACACACGCACACACACACACACACACACATACACCACGCACAAACAAATGACACTGTACTCACTGGAGCCGGGTTCCATCATGATCCCGGACGTATGCCGGAGTACGAGTACTATAATTAAGGTGCCGGCCGGTCCCCATGGAAAATCGCGGAAAAATTCTTTGAAAGTTGAGCAAATCTTGCGGTGCAGATAGTGGGCTGATCGAATTTTGTGGCAAAAATGCGGGCTGAATTTGCGGTAGAATATGAGGGAACTTGCGGTAAAATGTGTGGGTTTAGGCCATGTAAAATATATTGATTGTTTATCGTCAGATTTTCCCGAGAAATCGGGGCGGACGGGAGGTTTTTAATTTTATTTTTTATTATGCATTTTTTTATTATTATTATTTCACAATCACGATGACATAGTGCCAATAAGCATGTGATGCGGGCGATTTTAACCAGCCATGGTGGGGATTTATGGCTGTAGGGTAGGTGTTCCCAAACCCAGAGGATAATGGAAAGTGGAACAACCAACGTTACGTAGAAAAAACGAAGAATATCAGGCAGCTTATGATCAGTTTCACTGTTCAAGTCCATAGCAACTATAATTTGTGTAAGTTATGGTTCAGTCTGTGGACTTGACCTTCGAAAATCTACGGCCATGCTGATTAGAGGCTGTAGACCACAGTACATACAGTACATTTACCAGTATTAAAAAATAAAATAATTCGGCTGGAGGGTGAACATCAGGGAGTCGTCAAGTATTTGACGACTCCCTGGTGAACATTTGGGGCGGGCGCGGACGATAAACAATCATTTTTTTTACTTGGCCTTATAGATCTTTAGTCATGCCGTCACGGTCTGATGCTGCATTCTTGTACCCGATCTCCATCACATGCACCACTGCCACCATACCGGAATGGTACTGCAGTCAGACCTCGCTTATCCGGTCCTCTTTTATCTGGATCCCTCGCCATCCGGAAGAAAATGATCATTGGTTACCGATGTACAGATTATGTACGGCATACATACTGTATGTGTGTTCGATTATCTGGTTCCGGCCCTTGCCTATCCGGATATTTTTATGGCCCGGAAACGGATGTGTGCGGTTAAAGGAGGTCTGACTGTATGAGCAGAGTGCTCACAAGGCTGCATGTATGCCGGAACGCGCCAGAGTCAGTCGATCGTACGAGCAGCACGTTCATGCACACTGAAAAACAACCGATGATTTCTTGAAATCTGATATTTTCCTCACCATTTGTGGCAATTCGCGGCGATTCTGCCAAATCATCACATTTCGTGGGAGACACCGAAATTCGCGGATTTTGTCGCGGGCCGTGAGATCGTGATTTCCTGTGGGGACAGTATAAGTCGCTATTGTGACAATATGCAAAGCTCTGACCGTGCATAAATAATCATGGCAGTGTTATTCAGTCCCGATGTATATAGTAGCTAAGGATCCAATGTTGGGAACCCCATTCAGCTTGTTTTTGGGATCACTATAATGCATTTGCCTGATCCTGTTCACGAGTGGCACCACAGCTGTTCATACGAGTATGTGGTACCGAGCACATAGCACCCCAGCCGTTGATAAGTGGCCGACCACAGCCATCTCCTACGATTAGTATAATCGACGGTTCATGGTGCCGCGGTGGAAAGCCAACGATCGTGAAGTCACTGGCTCCATCAACACAAACACCTCGAATGATGGCATAATGGCGGCAAAACCACCAATTTGCCGACGGTCTCAGATGATAATGGATTATGCGAGACCTGATCCGGATATGGCTACACATACTTCTTGAGGTATATCAGTTGGAGACTGGCGAGTGGTGAGAGAAGAAACTTTTGCCAACCCGGTTTACTCAGTGTTTTAGTGTTCGCTGCACGAGATCACGGTTGACAGAGCGTCTCCACGGTGCTGTGGGGGGGGGGGGGGGGCATTAGTTTTGCTAGGCAAAGTATAATGCCAGCAGCAACAAATTAAAATGATTGAATTGGTATGGATAAAAAGTAAAACCAATCAAATCAGTCCGGGCTACATGTGACTATGAAAACACTTCACATAGGTGTGTTGAGACTGATTCCGAAAGTCTCCTCCGGATTCCCTGTGACTGAGAATCTTCAAAGTTCACTCCAGGATTCCAGGCCCGGTGTCCACTGAATGAAAAGCTAGCTACACTGTAGATTGAGCAATTATCACTAGCTACAGTGTTGAAAAGCGCTCAGCAAGCAAAGACCAGCTTCGACTGAGTCGCCGGGCCTCCACCACTCTTGATGGCAGGTCACAGAGCGAAGTATAAATTAATGAATGTTGGCTCCAAACGGAAATTTCAGCCTACAGAGAATAGTCAGATACAGCCAGCCTACAGTGCCATGGCCTACTTCACGAAGGCGGCTCACACTCAGGTCTGTAGCTTCACTGTGTTAGCTACTACTGGCTGATGAGCTCAGGTCACGGATCTGCAAAGTGTGTTCGGTTGAATTTATGCACCGGCTTATGCGCTGACCAGTCTATGATGCTGATATTGAGAGCAATTTGAAAATGGAACAGACAACTCAGCATAATTTTGGCATTTCCCGCCGGTTGAGTCGGCTCAATGGTGCGCTGAGAGACAGCGGCCATACATGGTACGTATGATGCCGGAAGAATATTTGCAATTGGTATTGCACGTGGTGGTGTAGGGAGGGGCACCCAGATAGGAGAGGTGAGGATGTATAATCTTGAGCTACTCATGATGGAGCATGGTTTGAAGTGAGTCAGCAGGGCCAACTTTTAAAATAGTTTTAAACGCTGGAATTGAATTGCTGCCTCGGAAGCTAAGCGATGCCGCGAATACTTCTTCTTTTAGTTACGGATAAAATTGATCAGTCGCAAATCGAACTAGTTATGATCTAGGGGTGAAATTGAATGACTGGAAGGAAGACACTAAAAACAATAGGTAGAAATATCACCATTGACCAGACTCACCTCTTCTGCCAGGGTACTACCGAACAACACAAGGCGTTTGATTTCAATACTACCTGAGTACACCTCTACGTCGTAACATTCGCCTTCCTTCGCCACGCCTTCCGAATACGCAGGACCTTCTGAACTGCGCCTCTTGGCATCCGTCCCATACACTTGTGTATAGGTGATTGTATGGCCAGCTGGTCGCATCAAGCCACTCCCTGTGCCTAGAGTTATTGGCCACTGCTCTGCGGTGATGTGTCGCGGTGACAAATGTAGGCTTCGTGTCGCCGGGTTGTACCTCTGACCACCCAGCGCGATCAGCAAACCCCAGAAGATCAGCTGCCGAGAGTAGTGCGAGTTGCACACAGGTCGAAGGTGGCACTCTGTGGAGCCGGAGGAAGAGCCGGGCAGGTCTCCGGTGTAGCAGGAGCTTAGATCGCGATAGTCCCATTGGTCACGCAGGGTCAGTCTGTACTTGTCTATGGTCAGAGCGGATAGGTAAAGTGCCTGTTCGTCACTGGTAGCACGTAGGAACAGCGAGAGAGTGCCCGAGTTGAGTGTGTGTGCCTCCCAGGTATCTTCATCCACAAATCCATTACCCAGATTATCACGTGACGTGTAGCCAGTATTGCTACGGTGGCGATGGTGTCTTCGATGCTGCTCTTCGGCACTACCGGCCTTTGAACCGCAATGATAGCCGGGAGTAGTACGTCCTGTGCAAAACTGCATGCCATATGGTGTCAGGTTTCTCTTTCTCTCCTCATGAAGGTGAGACACTAGGTTATCAGCCGGCAGAGTGCTGTTGAAGTTAAACATTTGATCCCAGAGAACACCGTACAACACATCGGACTGCAAGGCTTCTGGTGATGTCTCATTGTTTGCACACCAGAACGAACGGTAGAACGAGCCCGTCCACAGAAGTTTGTGCAGTGTATCGATACCAACGTCCCTGGCCTTTTGTACTTCCTCCCTGAATGTGGCATTGGGGTTGTGAGCAATGTCCATGACACGCAGTGCAGAACTCAGGGACGAGATATACAAGAAAGCGTTGTATGAGTTGACATCACCCATCAGTCCATGTTCGTCGAATGTATTCACCAAGTCACCCGTGAGACCATACTTACTGCCGTGTGCCAGCTGCCATCGAATAGCTAGTGTATACTTGTCCCAGATACTCTTCAAGAACTGCAGGCCGGCTGATTCGTTGTAGTTCAGCCAGTTCATATACACATCCATGATGAACACGGCATTGTCGTCACCGCGGGCACCATTGTTGGCTTTATCAAGGTTGTAGGTCCGCGATGCCCCGCCACAGCCACCGCCAAACTCCTCCGACACCAGCCCATCTGCTGTCATGTGATCGGCATACAGCATCAGGGTGTTGTGCTCCAGCGTGGGGAATAGGGAGTTGAATGCTAAGGAGCGATATCCGTGGATGTGGGGTGGCTCCATTTGTGCGCAGCTATGACTCTCAAACTGTCGCCAGCGGCCGTCTTTCAGAAACATGGCCGTTTTCGTCATGGCTCCTGGAGAGTTCACTAGCGCATCTTCTAGAAAATTCGAGGGAAAGGCTGACATGAATCGGGGCTGATCGTGCAGAAACTGAACCTCTGTATTCCAATCCTTTATGTCGTGAAGCACCGAGACGAGATTGCCACTGAGAGATTCAGCAACGTTCTCTGAGGACGAAAAGAAGTTGCTATAGTACTGGCCAATCTCCACATCAGCAAAGAAGCGATGTGGAAAGAACCAGGTTAATAGAACGGTGATCTGACTGGAAGAGTTTGCTGGAATCCACAGTCGAGCAGCGGCTGCTGCATGCTTTGAGCCTGGTGGTATGGCCTGGTTGTAGAATGACCCGTTGCCTTCCACGAAGGTCATCCATGCTTCTTGTAGAGACGTGAAGCCTTGTACCGTAACTTCGTCCACAGATACGGCATCGGTCTTTGTCATCACGGCCACTGTCATCGTGCCAGTGACGGCATCGGCTTTGCCTTCCTCACCTGCCGATAGGGTGAAGCCGCTACACGTACCACCGGTGGATTTGTACTTACGAAAGGCGGTGGATTGCGCTGTCATGTTTGCTAGCATATCCGGTAGGTTGAAGAACACGGCGGTCTGCGACTTCTGTGGCCCAGTGTTGGTGACGTTGAAATGGAACGCGATGGCTGGCGTAACAGAGCTGTTCGGTTCCTGTCGCTTGAACGGCGAGAACGCCGTGACGGTTATCTTCGCCCTCAGCAAGTCGTTGCTGGTTTGCAGGCAAGCAGTGGGAAATGCCCCGCTGTACGTGAGCGAGTCAACGGTGGGAAGATCCTCGTTCTCTATCGTCATGTGAGTTCTGAGCAGAGATGCTTGCGGTGGATCGACTCCGTCTCCATGCCATGCCTGCGTCAGCACACCCATCATTGCTTCGTCCACGTTCACCTTACCACCACCGCTGGCCTGGGGACCATTGTTGAAGATCTCCCAGTCCGTTAGTCGACCGTCAGCTCGCAGTTCAATGGTCCCACCACCCAAGCTACCGAGTGGCACTGCACTTCTCATTCCAGACGGTGGTGCCTCCACAGTGAAGTTCCCCATGCAAACAGTGGATGGGAGAGTGCTGTTCGCACATCCAGATATAACAGCTATTTGGAAACACGCAATTGTAACTCCGGTCTTTAAGAACAAGGGAAGTAAGCTCGATGCATCGAATTACCGCCCGATTTCGTTATTGTCAACAATCTCCAAGCTGTGTGAACGTATTATGTACAACCACTTATACACTTACCTGTCTCCTGTTCTACATCCGTCCCAGTCTGGATTCCGAAAAGGCGACTCTACGTCCTGGCAGCTTCTCAGACTTGTTCAATCGATGTCTTCTGTTCGTGAGAACGGCCATTACAGCATGCTATGTTTCTTTGATCTAAGCAAGGCCTTCGACACCGTATGGACACGCGGGCTCCTATACAAGCTGTCGCGCCATGGAATCCATGGTACTTGCTTCACGTGGCTCAGTACTTACCTGACGGGCAGACAGCAAAGGGTGCGTGTCGGCTCTGCTCTGTCTGCCAAAGGGCATGTACGGTCTGGAGTTCCTCAGGGATCAATCCTGGGGCCTCTCCTCTTCCTTATGTATGTAAACGATCTGGCAGAAATGGATCACACATCACTATATGCTGATGATACAGCACTACTTGTGACAGCACCCACTCTCCCCGAGGCTAGTGCCAAGTTACAGTCTAACATAGATGGCGTTATTCATTGGATGGAAAAATGGAAATTGCAACCCAACTCTTCGAAAACTGCTGTAATGTGTATCCCCCCCAGTTGTTCCTGTGACCTATCTTCATTAGTAACCAGTCCCTTCACCTTTCCAGGCACCACAACCCCGCTCTGCATCGTTGAAAAACACAAGCATCTTGGCGTCATTATTGACCAACACTTAACCTGGAAATCCCAGATCGAAAATTTAGACAGCCGTGTTAGCTCAGTAATGGGATTTCTCTCATCACACATCACCCACCTGCACACCGACTGTCGCCATGTTATCTACACATCTTACATTCTGCCTATTTTTGATTACTGCTGCATAATTTGGGCTGGCATTTCTAAAACACTGATTGCTCGACTCGAAGTTATGCATAGGCGTCTTTTGAAAATATTATTTCGGCTTCCTCGCCTGACTCCAAGCGCAGACTTATACCGCCTTGCTTCTGCTGTGCCGCTCTCGGTCCGCGTGCGTTTTTTGGCATGCCAGACAATTCATAAAATTAAGCTGGGCATTGCTCCTCTTCATGCTCTCTCCTGCCTAAGCTGGTTTGCTCAATCTCAAGACATGCGCACCAGAAACTCTCTCCGCTTCCCTATTGCGCGGTCTGCCTCTATGCAAACATCTCCTCTCTTCCTTGCTTACCGCCATTGGTCTCTCCTCCCACAACATCTAAAATCCTGCCAATGTTACAATACATTCACACAGCTACTGCAGAATGCAACATACTAGTTGATATCCAGCCCTGCCCTAGCTTCTTTTGCTTTTCAGTTCCCCTTTCATTCTTTTTCTTTCCCCCCCCTCTAGCTGTATTACCGCCATGGCTGGCTATCGCCCACATCACCATTTCATTGGCTAGTGCCACGTGATTGTGAATAAATAATAATAATAATAATAACATGACTTTTGAACGCTGAACTCATCGCTGTCGACTTGAGGTAGCATCCTTTAGTCTCTGCATAGAAATTATCAAACGTCCAGGCAGCGCATTTGCTACCGCCATCGGCTACACATGCTTGCCGACAGTCTTGCCAAGCGGACATTTGAGACCCGATGGGGATTTTTTTGTAATCACCTCCTGGAAGATCCGTGTTGTTGAGCATTTGAGCAGCAGCATGGCTGGCTGATTTATTCGATTGGATTTTATAAAGATAGCGCACCTGGCCGCCTTGCTGCCAGCGATTATCATATGGTTCGTCTAAGTAGTTATACGCTTCATTGTAGATCGATGCAATACTCAGCAGTCTGTATAATTATCTCACTGCTGTTCACGGTACCCGAATTGCTATAGAACAGACTTGCCACGAGCTCCTGAATGGTGCTGGCTTGCTGGCGTCGCTGAAGGCCTTTCATTTCCCATGCAGAGCATCGCGGTGGAGCGCACAGAAAGGCGCCAGCCACGGTGAGAAACAGCGTAACGCTACACCAACCACACCGAGCCCTCATTCTTTTGCTTCGCGGTTTTTCTTCGGAGTCTTGTCCGGCACTATCTGCTGTGCGTTGCTTCCTTCCCCGATTTCACTAGCTTCCCATTTACGACGTAAATCCGACTCTGTACTCTCTCTAGCGCTTGGAGCTGATGGTACTACAGACTACAGTACAGTCAGTAGTATCTGAAGAGTGAATAGAAGTAAAGGCGATCAAACTGATTTTAGTTGCCAACTAAATAATTACTACCACTACGCCTTTTTGGACGAAGCTTGCTGTCCGTGTCAGTAGCCAGCCGCAGCATCACGAGATCTGGATCCTGGCTAGCTGTACTCTAACATTTTCCGATCGTCCTTGCATGCAGACAACTGACAGTCTGTGTTGACCCTACGCGTAGGACTCAGTAGGAGTAGGAGGTGAGAATGAGATGAGCCGCCTTAGCTCATGCCATAGTCTAGGCTGTGGCCACGGTGACGGGGACAGGTAGACTGGCGCGGCCCGGGAGGTTCAGGACCAAACTCTGGTCCTGATCGTTCTTCACTCATCCACACTTCAGTTATGTTCAGATCCAACCAGGGAGTCGTATACGACTCCCTGGACCCAACCCTACATTGAAGTAGTAGTAATATATGTGTATTATTGATAGCGTGGATCATGGACCGCAGTACCGAATGACTCACGAATGTGTTTCTAGGAGATAATTATTATTTTTGTAAGGACCCTGAAGCTAATTCTATTCTTTGTAGTTGAATGATTTCCAATCTGTGGTTATTTAGCAACGATTTGGGCTTGAGGAATGGTGCAGGCGGATGGTCGAAAGCAGTGGCATCGACACACTGCGCAAGCTTTTGCCGGTGCGATCGTTCTACCGTTCATTTTGGTGTGCAAACCATAATCCGATCACAAGAAGCCTCGAAGTCTAAAGTGTTGTGTGGTCTCCTCTGGGATGGAAAATTTTAATGTTTACATGCATCTTCAACTGACAAGTGACAGTACTCTACCACTGGAACCGTCAGAAGTCACGGTCTCACCATCTCATGAGGAAAGAGAGAGACAGCTGCCACCATATGACATACAGCGTAGTGCGGAAGATGGTTTACCCAGCTACGGATGCAGCGAAAAGACTGGCGATGAGACGCAAAGGATATCACCGAAGCGACCATTATCAGCAGCATCGGAATTACCCATCCGCTACATCATTCAAGGTAATGGTAATGCCGCGATTTGTGGACAAAAAATATCATGGGAAGCCCAAATACTACTCCTCCCAACTCTAACACACACACACACACACACACACACACACACACACACACACACACACACACACACACACACACACACACACACACACACACACACACACACACACACACACACACACACACACACACACACACACACACACACACACACACACACACACACACACACACACACACACACACACACACACACACACACACACACACACACACACACACACACACACACACACACACACACACACACACACACACACACACACACACACACACACACACACACACACACACACACACACACACACACACACACACACACACACACACACACACACACACACACACACACACACACACACACACACACACACACACACACACACACACACACACACACACACACACACACACACACACACACACACACACACACACACACACACACACACACACACACACACACACACACACACACACACACACACACACACACACACACACACACACACACACACACACACACACACACACACACACACACACACACACACACACACACACACACACACACACACACACACACACACACACACACACACACACACACACACACACACACACACACACACACACACACACACACACACACACACACACACACACACACACACACACACACACACACACACACACACACACACACACACACACACACACACACACACACACACACACACACACACACACACACACACACACACACACACACACACACACACACACACACACACACACACACACACACGCGCGTATACACACACACACACACACACACACACACACACACACACACACACACAACCTCGTTAGCTACATCCATGTTACCCTCACTCCGAGTAGTGAGTACCCAGTTGACCGTGGGTGTCGGCACAGGTTCTTGCATGTAAAGTGGTTCACGCATGCATCACCGCATTTGTTAGCATAGTACACGCTCCCTGCTCCCAGCGCGGGTCTCGAACTCGGGACCTTGTGATTCGCAGGCAAGCCCACTACCACTCGGCCAAAGCGCTGGTGAGTTGGGATGCATAGCTAAATATTAAACGAGGCATGATGTGGGGCTAGAGTCTAGAGATGTATCTTTCTATGATACTGAAATTTGACACTGGGTAATGACTGGTCCTATAGCCGACCTGGGGCTGTACCACCCTTCAGGAGCTGGCTCCGTGGTCTGATAGTAGGCCCCGGCGGATAATGCTCGAGATGGATTCTGCTTTTCAATATGCTCGCATTCTGCTCCAAAATAGCACTGATAATGCTTGAATTCTGCTTCGGAAAAATGGAAATAGTGGTATACATGTAGATTACTAATGTTGCATACAGTGCTTGCCAGCATACTGGTTTTCCCGGTATACTACCGGAAAACTAGGGTAACTACCGGCATAACGGGGATTTTTTGACATTGATCGAAAAAACTACCAGAATTGCCACTGAACCATGCGTGTTAAAAAAATGGTTGTTTTGGGGTGTTACAAGGGCACATGCGGCCCTGCATTCACAGAATCGCACATGTAGTGGCGATCCGGATAATGAAGAAACTCAGGTTTTGGTCCCCCAATGAACATGTCACTCTTGTCACTCTTGTTGGGAGCTCCTAGCAAGTGCTGTACCCCTGCTCAGGGTTAACAATA